CCCCGCCCCACCACGCCCCACCACTCTGCACACATTTCACTATCGTAAACGCAACGATACGTCCGAACTTGAGGCAGCTAAATTATACCGTTATTTGCAACGATTGCTTGAAGTTTAGTACCGTGCGAGAGCTAGTTAACGCGGCGGTCGACCGCTCGCCCACATATTTCCTTCGCAAAGGCGTTTTTTTTTCATTCTCGTTAAAAAACGTTCAAATGGAACAAATGAATTGCTAAGTATCTTGCAGTTTGAGCGCTGGGAGAACGGAGCAAGTGAGATTTTAAAGCGTTCGTCGCTCGAAAGCCACCGACGCGAGGTTTTAACGCGGCGTTGAAAAAACGCCAGTGCGAATAAGAACTTCCTAATGAGCTGCGCCTCTCTAAATCCCTCGATTATACATTTTGTTGTTTCTCATTTAGTTTTATTACGATAAAACGAACCTGAGAATATTATCGCCTCCTCCTATTAGATCGAGAGTGTAATGTAACTGGGGGTGTTAGGACTGCAGAGACACCTGTTTTAATATTTTTTATTGTAGTGTATATTGTGTAAAAGAGAAGGAAAGGGACGACGATATGTATAGTCGCGGTGCACTCGCTCACTACTGGACAATGTTTTCGTGAAATGTGATAATAGAATAGCACGAACACGAACTTGTATATCGCGACTGTTGTTTTACTCAGATAGTTTGTACTTGAAGCTTTCGATACTTTGAGCGTCCCCCGGCCGCCCCCTGCCACCCCCTGCAGACCCCTGCCGCCCCATGCAGCCCCCTACAGCGGTGCGGTGCGTGGTTTGTTAAAAAAAAGTGTTTTATGTAATATATTCTTTGTTTTTTTATTTATGAATTCTGCAACAAATTACACGTTCCTTTTAATTTGTACAGGATAAGTGTAGCTTGTAGTTCCCGCCCCACGCCCCGCCCCCCACGTAGATATGTAAGCATCGGTGTACGCTCCACTTTACGGAATATAACTTTAATAATGAACTCTATGAAACGTAGGCCGCCGCGGAATTTAGAGCTTACGAGTTGCACTGTTCGTGAAGTGATCGATGTTTAGGAATTATTGTTTTATTGTAACTATATGTTTTGTATTCGTGTCGTGACGTGTCGTGTCGTGACGTGACGTGACGTGTCGTGTCGTGTCGCGCTCGCGGTCCAGTCCTGGCTTACAATTTCATTTTTTACCGTGTGAAGTGCTGCGGTTAACGCATTTCTTGTTAAAATATTTTATGTAGCAATTTATTTCCTGACGAAAGATTTTGTAATCAAATAAATGATGGCTATTTTCTATAATGTTTTATTTTGTCATGATGTTCATCCCTAAACAAGCGGCAACTGCGTCTCTACATGTAGTAGCGCGGGTAGTAATGTACAATCTCCTCATTGGTGTGAAGTGAACATTCCCCTAACCTCTACCTACCTGACACGTAGGAGATTTACTGAAAAGTTAAGATAAAGAAAAGAGGAAAAATAAAAAGTCCTCGACGGTATTTTTCATAGAGGTAGGATTTGTGAAGGAGAGCTGCAGCCGGCGAGCTCGCCCCGCGCTGATCTCTCTCTTCTCTCACTTCATCGCCGCTAAAAAGTTAGGTTTCATATTGAGACTTCCTTTAACTGGTTCTCAGGACACTTTTCTAATGCAAAAAATAAACGACAACCTTTTTTTATACAATTGTCAAGGTGACATTAAGTTAAGACGTCTATCGTTTATGCTGTAATATTAATTTAGTATTTAGATACAAAAATGTTATTATTAATTTTAATAAGCAGCCTAGCGAGTAACGCGCTGGGGTCGGCGGAGCTGCGCGGGCTGTACGGGCTGCGCGGCGGCAACCGCGTCACTCTGTGCATGAGCCCGGGCACGGCGGGCCGCGGCCATGACGTGTGCCGCGGCGCGCTGTGGCGACGCCACTGGGTGCTCGTGCGCGGCAGCTGCGTGGCGCGCCGCCCCCTCTACCCCGTCGTGCTCGTGCGCGACTCCGCCGACAACGTCGACTGCGAGGAGGTGCAACAAGGTCTGCTCCAACCCCTCTCACCACCACCAACTCCACCACTCGCATAGCCCTCGCGGATGCTTTTCCTTTACAGGCAACAGAAAGACAGATTATTTAGCTAGCATTTAACAATCAAAAAACAAATCATGACCTACATATAAACAGAACTATATGTAGCCATTAACTTATAATAAAATTAATTGTTATATTGTAATATACATTTTGATTCACAAGTGAAAGTTTGCAGACATGTTGTACTACAATTACCGCAAAGTGCTTGCACGATTCATGCACCCCAACTTCCCAGAGACAGACTTTGCGCTGATTTGTGTTCTGGAGCCATTTGATGCATTGCAAGTCACCTCCAATGCCAGCATGGAACTGCTCACTAAGTATGTATCTAATTTACTATTGACCTGAACATTCATGTTGTTCCAGCTGCTAAGACATCTTGACAAATCTCTGAATTACCTTACTTGGAAATTGTTTGGAAGAAACATTATTTAGTTATATGCACTGCTGATATAATACTGATTGGAGGCAGTGTTTAAACCGTTTACAGTAGAAAACAGTCAGTACACTAAGTAAACATTACACCAGTTAGCTAATGCAAATGTAATGTGCATTTTGCAGGCTGGAGCCGTGGCTGTGGGAAACATATAACGGATTCTCTCCTGAGACACACTTGGCACATTATTGGCCCAGTGAACAGAACATGGTGTTTGCATCCCCTGTGAGAATGTTCATGGCTACAGTCGTTCTGCCATTGACGATTTTTATAGCATTCTTCCTGCTTATTACATTCTACACGGGCACTGACAAGAACTCTCTCCCATATAGAAGCCTTGAGGATAAAGACGACTCTTCTTTTGCGTAGACTGAATAAAAACGAATAATTTATATCAACTTGTTTTATTGATATATGTATATATACTAACATAGTTTTAACACACATTTCTATCACCTACATCGAGCATGATTAACTAAGAAGTGTCTCACTGCAACTTTGCTTGTCACTCTGTTTTCTTGTTTTGCAATCTTCTCCACACCTTTACTTTCCCTCGTAGCTCTCGTAGTCTTTTCATCTCCTCCTTGAAGTCTTGATGTTCATCCCTAAACAAGCCGTAACTGCGGAGGTTCATCATTAATTTACCTGTCTCTACATGGCGCGGGTAGTAATGTATAATCTCCTCATTGGTGTGAAGTGGACGTGCTGAAAAAATTTTCACCACCTTCATAGACTTTGAATTTGTTGGAGTCGCGACTTCTCCGAAGATCCTATTCGACAAATGCTTCATCCGTCGTGCGTAATTTGTAGTTGCATTAATTAATTGAGAGTATTTAGTATAGTTTGTTGCCATTCTATATCTTTCGGACTAACAATGTCAACTATTTATGTTCGTAGTGAAATCGTATTTCACATTTATTACGTATTTCTCAATTTCTCATATAACCTCAAAACTTAATGTTTTGATTTGTCTGACAGGTGACAGACTTAGACCGACAATGCTCGGACCAAAGAGTATAATAAGTATACTATAGGCTCGGACAAGACTGTCTGAACCGGTGGGCATAAGTCAAACGAGCTCACTAGCGCCCTGCTGTCGACGTCAAAAATGATAAGGATCATCTGATCCTCTGTATTGTATTGTCATGTCATTTTTATACATCCTGACAGAACCAACCGCGACAACAGCTCCTCTCTCACCGCTCAAACATTATTCTTGTTTGACTGTATTGTTGCTGTTGTTGTACTGTACTGATTTGACAGTTGACAACAAAGAGCGTAATATTCTGATTCTGTGTGCAGATTCAGAATTTAGGATTTATTTATGGGACCTGATTAAATCAATCAATTTTGTGACGCAGTCAGCAGGTGCGCAGGCCGCACTGATTAGAAAGGGTCGTATTGTGTTCTGATATTGTTAGTACTAAGTGAGCATAGCTGTTGGATTGCTGCATTGCCAAGTTCGATAATGTCGCACTTAACACCAGGCCCAATGAAACCATTGAAACCGGTAAATTGTAACATTTGTTTGTTTTTTTTTTACTATTAAATTTTCAAGCTTTATACATTTTGTCTGTGGTGCTTTTTAATGAATAGACTTGATAATAGCGAATTATTTGATTTTCATAAAATTTTTAATTGATAGAATATGACTACATTTTAGTTGTTATTTATATTCTTAATTTGAACCTGCTTGAAAATTGGTGAGGTGTGAGTTGCAGCTGCCACTGGGGCTGTGGGCGTCGCCGCAAACGAAGCTATACATGACATTCATAGGGGTGGTGCTGTATGCATACATTTTGATCTTTATCAAGACTATGTATCACAAGTTCCAGCGACTGGACCATGTGGAGGCTATGGTAAGATCTCAAATTTATGTTGATTGTATGATCCATGTTGTGCATAGTAGAAAAGATAAGTCTTTAGAACATACCACTCTCTGTATAGAGCTCTTCTTTGCTGACTTCAAAGCTGGTTTTCAATTACTCCCATTCCAAATCAAATATATTCCAATTAATGTTTAATAATTGCCTAATTTAAAAACGTTAATTATTTTATTAGCAATTAAGACATTGTTAAGAAGCAAAATTATTAGGCTTTTTTGATTTTTCATAATATAAATTATTAGGGTTTACAAAATCTACAATTTCCTCTAATTTGTGTTTTTGGGGTATCGGCTATTAACTAGAATAATATGGTGTAATTGTAATGTGTAGGTGATGAAGACGGAGCAAATGATTCACAGAATACACACTATCGACCTCAACATGGCCATCAACATGGAGCACATAGACAATGGATTCTTAGACTACTAGGCCCTCAGCAGCTACATACATTTACAAACTTGTTATCAATGTTGCAATCATATATGTTTAGTAAAAAAACATTATCACATTAGTTGTAATGAATTTAAAAAAAAGCTGATGTAATGATAAAAGCCGTAGCCATGTAGAGAGGTAGCTAACCCCACCCAATAAATATACAAATTCCTGTGTGAATTATGCTGTGTCCAAGCAATTACTATATATTTTTAGGTTAAGTTAATTAAACTGATTAATTTTAGCATCATTTTCTGTGATAAAATCTTTATTTGAAGTTGATACTACTACTGTCTGTATTGGTTTATATTTTGTTTAAGTGGACTCGGTTAAAATAAAGTAAAGTTTTGAGCTGCTTCATATGTTTCATTTCTAATTTTTACAAATGCCATCAATTCAGTAAGAGTTACCATACCCTTGTTGTTAGGTGACCGCTGCCATTTAACATGTTTTCCTCGCCAACAAGACATTTCACTGATTTTGGACTCCCTCCAGCTTACCGCAATTCATATCTGTTGTGTTCATTTGCAATGTGTAAAACACAATTCACTATTAACCCTAAGAGCCATCAACATCTCTATAATTTAAAAAACATTTTGTAAAGTTGTATACTTTTATTTATAAAAACATTTCTTACTGTTTTATATTACTACGCTTAAATTAATTTATAATGTTAGTGAGATTCATCAATCAACGGCTGCTGAAGCTGCACACATTGTCGTGTGGGACACTGATATAAGTCAGTCAGTGAGTCCGTTGTCGAGGGCGAAGCACCGGTCGTGGACGAGCACGGCGGCGGGAGCGCAGCGCCAGGGGTCGGCAGTGCGGCGCTGCCAGGCCTGCAGGCGCGCGCGCAGCCCCGCCTCCACCTCCGACAGCGACGGCTTGCCTGCACACATCGATCAAATAATCAATGGCTGCTATCGTACGGTGGGGTCAGCAGCGAGGTGGGTGCAGACCGTGCAGGTTGTTGAGCTCGGCGGGGTCGCGGCGCAGGTCGTAGAGCTCCCACTGCGGCCGGTAGTAGTACTGCCGCAGCGTCTTGTACCACGGCAGCGGCCGCTTGCTGCGCGTACGGTTCAGAATGTCCTGCACATGAGTACGAGACGCCATTTGTTAACTCCATGTTATTCTAATGTTTTAGTTTGTGTTACCGAATGGTGTTAATGTCTGAAAGCAGACAACTCACCTGGAATGTGGGCGAGACATAGAGGTCCTGATCGATGGGGAAGGGCATGGCGTAGTGCAGGTTGTGGAGCAGCTTGTAGCGGCGCGTGCGCACGGCGCGCATCGGGTAGTACATGCTGACCTCGTGGTGCGTCTGAGAGCCGAACACCGCCTCCGCTTCCGAGTACGCCGGCTCTGCAATACATATGTACATGAATGCAGTAAAATGAGGAAACTTTGTACATATTCGCCGAAAATGCTAACGACTATATCCGGCGACCACTGTTAGTGACCGGCGATGAACCTTTAATTAAAATAGGCAACAAGCTCTTGGGCTGGTCGCTGTGCGTGATTTCGTTGTCCTCTCGCCGCTCCGCGGGTACGCCGAACCAGTCGAGCAGTGTGGGCATGAGGTCGAGCTGGCTGGCCATGGCGTAGGAGGCCTGGTTCCTGCGCGCAGCGGGCTGCGGGGAGGCGAGGATGAGCGGCGCACGCAGGCCCGCCTCGTGCAAGTTGGTGCGCCCGCCGGGGAACGGGATGCCGTTGTCCGACGTGTATATGACGAGCGTGTCCTCCTTGTGCCCCGCAGCTTCCAACTCCTTCAGGAGCAGCCCCACGCCTGCCAACACCAGTGTGTCTTCTTGTTATATCATTATTGTAGTAAGTCAGTAAGAGTTTGTTCCATGGAACTAGAAGTACTAGCATTAATTAAATAAGTAATATAGTTTATAAGTTATTTAATTTAACTTCAGCGAAGGAATCAAATAAAACATCTTAGAACTTTTACTAAATTTATGTCTATAAAAGACTTTGAGTATCCTTATGACACTGTACCTTGATCCAATCGCGACATGGTGGTGTACTGAGCGGCTATGTCTCGCCGGGCCGCCTCCGTGTCCTGTCACGGGTTTACAAATGAAATGTAAAACAAACTCGTTTTCATTTTCCTAAATGTGTAACTTATAAGCTGTGATGTGGGCGAGGGTCGGAGGGTACCTGTACGTGGTAGGGCAGCTGCACCTCGTCCCACTGGTAGTACCAGGGCGCCCAATCGGGGATGGTGCCCATGCCGGGCTCGCCTGACCCGAAGCGCTCGCAGAAGGCGCCGTACCGCGGCTCGCTGTTCCCGCACCGGTGCGGGTCGTGAAAGCCCACATACAGAAAGAACGACCTGAAAACATGTGTTGGATAATGCGCACAATTATGTTATAAAAGGAGTCTGTCTCGGAACATAAGGTAATATTTAATCCCGCATTTGACTTAGAGACTGATGAATAGAAGTAAGCAGAGAAACCCTACGAATTCTAAAAGTCGGTGATGCTAGAATGACAATTTTAGTACAAAACCTAGTGTGATACAATGCGGTGCATTTGTACTTTGGTTGGGTACAGAAGGCGGCAAAATACAAAGACAACACAAGTCCTCACTTATTGTGCCGGTTAGCGCTGGCGAGGAATTCCCGGGCGAGCAACTTAATGTGCGTGATGTTGCGCCCCACCTGGTCGATGTGGTTGTTGCGCTCCGTCTGCTCGTAGTCGAAGCGGAACACCTCGTCGGGGCCCACGTGCTTCTTGCCAATAATACCTGCAACTCGTTTTAAAGAACCGACCGCTTCGTATCTTTTCCTAGGTTTATTGTCACTAATGATCGCCCATCGGTTGAATTTCGACCATAATTCGTAATGAAACTTTTTTTTATCATTTTTGAGTAAAATAACTTTATGGATTTCTCCTCCACATTAAGTTTAATTTTCATATTGCGCAATTTCTTTAAAAAGTGGCATTACATATTAGTTTTACTCAAATTTAATATTCGCTTATCGAAGTAGCAATTGTAACAATCACAAAGCGTTATAAAGTAGTATACTAAAAGAGCATACCGGTGTAGACGCCATGTTGGCGCAGCAGGTTGGGCAGGCTGGTGATGTTGTCGAAGGTGTTGAAGTGGTGCACGCCGTGGTGCAGCCCGTACATGCCGCTCTGGTGGCTCGGAGTGCCGGTCAGCAGCGCCGCGCGGCTGCCACACATACCGCCCTCAACACGCTACCAATATGTGCTCATCGAGATGATTATTGGACAAATTAATTATGCATCCAATTTCTGTATGCCTTTACGCGTGCAAATTCTACAGAATCAGAATAATTTCGGAACCTCAAACATCTCTGCGACAAGGAAATTTATAACTTTTAGGTGAAAGTAGTTCGATCTTGTTTTTGTAGTGAAATTGATGTTATTCAAAAACAGGTTAATTAATCGTGGCCGCGTATAATGCTGATAATGTGATCGAATATGGTTTTTGCCTGAGGCTGGACGTAGTAGGTACCTGGGTGAGCAGCTGCTGACCGAGTTGAAGGCGTTGTTGAACAGCAGTCCGCGGCGCGCCAGCGCGTCGATGTTCGGCGTCTGGCAGATCTTATTGCCGTACGCTCCCAGCTCGAAACCGCCGTCATCGGCTGCGGAAGACCACGGCCACGTGAGAACAACATTAAAGCTATTACTGCAACTGAGAATCGACAACGAGACAATTCTAAAAAGAAATCTGTATTCCGAGGTTTTACATTACAACGCCAACTACATTGCCAATAACCCAGAGTGGCAGGCAGAGATCACCGACCTCCATTTGGCGCAGTCCTAACACACCTCTCACTCCTATATTCATACCTACATCTACACGTACATGCACTTCGGGTTTTTTTTTTCATATTATAAGGTGGCAAACGAGCGAGCGGCCACCTGAAATCACTGAAATAGCGAAGTGACCGTTGCCCATAAACATATGCAATTGCATATGCGTTGCCCACCCTTAATCGACGGAAGAGAGGATGCACAGAAAGAAAATATTTTCCCTTTCCATGCATCCTCACATCCGGAAAGTCTACTTCACTTCCCATCCTTTCCTTATAAGAAAAAGGGTTGGAAGGGTAAGAGGACTAAATTAGGCCTCCGGGACGCACACTCATCAGACGAATCGCGGAATTGCTTCCACTTGACGCCTGTCTTCTGTGTGGTCGTGGTATTTCACCGGGCGAATTTGTGCGAAGATGTTAAAGCGGGCTCTACCACTGTGTTCTTAATGCCGTCCTTTTTAAGTAATTCATCAATATGGAGGTTTATCGTTATTTTTTAACTATTAAAGTAGTTATTATGTATTTAGGTAAATAGCCCTCAGTTTTGTTTAACAAGTCCCAAAACATTTATCTAAAAAATTACCAAGTTGTTGTAAAAAATATGTTATCTATTCAACAAAATAAAACACATCAGGTGATCGAAGTAGGGTCAACATGTTTGTGTTGAATTTGAGTAAATAATTAATATCCATATTAAAACATAATTTTGGAGATTTACATGAATACCAGCTCATAGTTATTCACATTCCTTCGTGCATGTTTAATAATGTTGTTTGAACAGATGATGTGACGCCGGCTGCATCAACTCACCATGCGACAAACAATTCTAAATTAAAGAAACATTAACTAAAAAAGTTCATACATACTCTTTTTATTGTAATTAAACAATTATTGACAGTTTGGTTAAGAAAAGAAACTCGTGATTCATATTACTTTATCAATCAACGGCTTATATTACTTGAGGAACAAAAATCGTAGTTACTACACTAAAACGCTCGACCTAGGGCGGTAGGTTTAGATATTAACTATCCCTATAAAATACATTAAAATTCATCCTGTTATTTGATTTGGAAATTGGTAGAGAATTAGAAAAGACATTGTCGAACATGTTCTTTCCTTCAATAAAGCGTTTAATACGACAAGTAGCGGTCACCGATCACCCGCAACTTCCTCAGCGCAGAATTTTAAAAAAAGTCCGCGTGCAATAGCTATGTTCCAGTTGTTTTAGAGATTACCCAGAACAAACGCTGCCTTGCAGACAGACAGACAACAGTTTTAAAAATTGGTTTTTCGTTATCAGCTACGCAAATACATCAAATGTATAAAATGTGGTTTTTTTTCCTCAAATTTTATTAATATAATAATTTAAATATTGTAAAAAAACTGACGTTTTCTAAAACCAGAGCACCTTATTAAGTTAAACTGATCACTTGAGGTGGTAGAAGAGGGGGGGGGCGATTTTGGGGCAATGACCACTGACACCTTTTAACGGTAGTTACTGTAACACGCTCAAAAGTGTTGAAAACTTTATGTTTCTATTTTTTTCATACAGAATAAGGAAATGCTGATTATGTTCTTTTAACGGACGACTAGACGTGCTCTTTCTATTCAAGTTATGAACTCTCGACTCAAAGTCACTTTGTCAAATTGTGAACTGAATTTTTACTTGTGTAATAACGGTCAAGTTATTTTATAGGTTTGCTAATTACTGTAAAGATTTGTTACACTGGACTCGAACAAACTAAATATCCTTGCATTTTATGTGATATTTCAAATTATGGAACATCAATTATAACAATTAACAGTTAGTACACAGTTGCGCGCAGTTGTTAAAATCATACTGAGTAATTTTATAAACTACCTAATTTTAAAATCGGTTGGTGGCGTTTGCATGTTATCATGAATTGTCAAATGTTTGACGTACCTTATCAAACAAATGAATGGCAATGACAAATATCATCTGTGGAATACGAATGTCATAGAAAAAAAAACAATATTTGAATTACACTTTTTTAGACTTTTTTTCATCTGCTCTGCGACCCAACAGTTAATATGACAAAAAGACTCACCCAATAGAAAAAGAACATTTCGAGGCTTATTAGATAATACTCTTTCGGTGATAAGTAAAGATAATAATAAGTAAAATACAGCCGGCGCCCTCGCCATGTTGTTAAGCGATAGTAGGGAATTGACGTGTCGCCCTCGCAGCGGCGGCGGAGTGTTTAGTTGGCAGCTCGGCGCTGCGTTTGCAAGCACAGTCGCCTCGCTTCCCTCCACTACCACTGGAGTGTCTGGTATCGGTATCGACCGCGCCACTTTTACTTCTATAAGCAATTGCGCGGAATTGAGCCCTCTCCAAGGCAATGGGTAACCGTAAAAATATTTTGTACTTATTTGATGTCGACGGAACCTTAACTAAGCCTCGGCAACGCATTTCCGAAGACCTAAAGAACTTTTTACTGAAAGAAGTGAAATCCCGGGTCAAAGTAGGATTGGTCAGTGGATCTGATTATAGCAAAATCGTAGAGCAAATGGATGGCGAGGAGACAACAAATCAGTTCGACCATGTTTTCTGCGAAAACGGCGTAGTGCATTATCAACAGGGACAGTTGAAGAAAACGGAAAGTATTTTGACTTATATTGGAGAGCAGACTCTGCAGAGGGTTATAAACTTTGCATTGGGATATATGTCTAAGTTAGAGCTCCCAGCGAAGAGAGGTAACTTTGTGGAGTTCAGATCAAGCATGATCAACATCTGCCCAGTGGGTCGGTCCTGCAGCCAGACAGAGAGAGATGAGTTCTCCCAGTTTGACATGCAGCACAAGATCAGGGCAAAGTTTGTTGAAAGTTTACAAAATGAATTTGAAGGTTCCAAATTATCATTTGCTTTGGGAGGTCAGATCAGTGTGGATGTATTTCCAACAGGATGGGATAAAACTTATTGCCTAAATCACATTCCAAAAGAAAGTTTCACTGAGATACATTTCTTTGGGGACAAAACCTTGCCGGGGGGAAATGATTATGAAATATTTAATGATAAGAGGACAATTGGCCATGCTGTCACCTCCCCCCAAGATACCAAAGAACAATTAATGAAGTGTCTTAATATAGTATGAGCAACTGTAAATAAAACATTTGTATATATTGCTTTAACAAATTTTATTTAATAATAAATGTATATTGCAATTTGTTCATTATTATGCAAAATATTATTGCTTAGAAATCCTTATTGTGATGAATGGTCAGCTGCTACAAACTTTATAAAAATAAACAATAACTCATAAGTCTAGTACTGTAACAATAAAAATTAACAACTCCAATATTTAGGTAAAAAAAAGATAAGAGATTGTCAACAAGCCATCACAATTCCTTCAAAAGTTACATCATAAATTAAATATTGATATCACACAAATATCAAATGAACGATTTTTGTTTCTTACAATACCCAGAGGTGTTTATACAATGCTCCATACATTGTATAAACATTGAGTGTTTGCGTGTTATAAAGTACTAAATAATCAAAATATTTACAAGACCGTAGTTGTGGTATACAGGTACAGGCAGACATGGTAGCAGCATACTTACAAATAAACGTCAATAGCAATTACCTTTAAGGCTTGGTCCAGTACATCTTTTATAAATGCTATCAATAACATGAGTCTAGTAATATCAGTCAAATGTATGAAACAATTACATTGTCAGTGCTAAGAAGATAGAAATTCAAGATCATTAATAAAAAGCTCAGACTATGTAATCTTAATGGGGTAGACAGATATGTAAATTTATTGTTACCTACTCTTTTATTTAGAAATTTATTCCAAAAGTCCATTACAACAGCTTTAAAAAACAATATTGTCATAATATTTACTAACTATACATTCTAAAAGTAATTCACTGGATAAAACATAGGTAAAGAGTACTTCTAATTACATATCATGTATAACCATTCTCTAGAACACCAGAACTGCAATGCACTTACTTGTAGTCCCTTAAAATATACGGAGATAACAATTATTCAACACAAGAGACACATTGCCCAAAACTAATATTTACTCCACATTTTACACAACAGGAAAATGATATGTATATGAACATTGTATATTTATGCACAGAACATCTTACAATCTATACACGAGTTTCATTTTCCCAGGTAGTCCCATCTGTAACTATATTAACAATTTCTTACATTTCTTCATAGCTGAATATCATTTATCCTTCACCTATTTCTACTTTCTAGTTGGCTTTTTTAACCTTTCACATTACAGAATCCTCCTACATTGTTTTTAAAAATGAGTAAATACAATTAAAGTAAATATTCAAAAAATATCTTATATAATATTTAATAAAACTTTACAAAATAAATGTGCTTTAGTTATCTTAGCTATAATTCATTGTATATTACAACAATATGTTAAATATTTGAATATTTTTTTATTTTCTATTTTATATAATAAACATATAAAATAGTTGCCTTTATCTGACTTTGTATAACTTGAATTGTTGATATTAAATTCCATATCAATGGCCTTCATATTTAGGCTTTCTCTTCTCAATGAATGACAACATGCCCTCCTGTCTGTCCTTAGTTGGTACATTGATTTCGTAATATTTTTGTTCTACCTCATAGCCATCCTTGATGCTGAGCTGCACACCCTCATTGATGGCTTGTTTGGCGCAGCGCAGTGCGATGGGTGCATTGGGCAGGATCTCCCGCGCCAAGTCTAGTGCCTTCTCGAAGGCGGCGTTGTTGTTCTCATTCTGTGTGACTGCATGATTCACAATACCTGTGGATAGTCATGTTAACTTATGTATATATAATGTAACATTTACCACATCAAATTACTACGGAGACAGTATTAAAGAATATAGACAATATTCAAATTAAATGAAACCAACCCATTTCCTTAGCTTCTTTGCCATTAATAATCCTGGATGTAAATATAAGTTCCTTAGCTATATTTGGATGAATGACTCTGGGCAAGCGCTGTGTGCCTCCGGCACCAGGTATCAGGCCGCGCCCGGTCTCCACCAAACCCAGCTTAGCATTTTCTGCCGCCACTCTTATGTCACAAGCCAGAGCTAATTCCAGGCCACCACCCACTGCCACACCTTCAATGGCTGCTATGGTCGGCATAGGCAGGTCCTCTATCTCTATAAAAGTTTCCCTCAAACCTCTCACAAAATTTGCCACTTCATCATCTGCCATTTTGAATCTTTCCTTTAAATTGGCACCTATAACATACATAAAATTTTATTTTTGTGTTGTTCATGTTTTTCACATTATGTATTTTTTATACCAAATGTATCCTTTCTTTTAGGTGAAATAAATGTAATAAAAAGAGATTCCAAAAATGTGAATGTTGGGACAGATACCTAAATCTCTGTACTCCATCCTGTTATTACTGAATTTTTAAATGTAACTGATATTGGTAATATTATCTATATTCACCACAAACCTACATATGTATTTATAATAACTGTGCACAAACCTGCGCAGAATATTCCTCGTACCAAGCTATGCAAAATGACAACAGATATTTTTGTGTCCTCTCGGATCAGTGCGTTCACCTCCCTCATTGACTGTACAAGTTCGAAACCAAGTGCATTTTTGTCTTTAGGGCTGTTGAGTCCATACACCGCAATGCCCCTATCGGCACCGATCAACTTGTGGAAAGCAACAGGCCCAACATTTTCCACTTCCTGAGTGTGGGTTGATAAAAACCTCAGATTCGAGGCGGTCTTTAATATATTGTTTATTTTTACCCTTGATATCATCATTAACCTTGTTGATACGCTCACTTTGATATAACTTAACAGCTAGGCACAAATATTAGCGGCAAATAAACTGCGCACGTATCGGCCGAGGTCACAGATTACCACGTTAGCACAGCAAGAGGTCTGGGAATACTCTATTCATATAGAATACAATAATTGCTTGATCAAAATATCTTATCAGTAATATACTGATAACGCCAATGACAGTAGTTTTTCTTAAGGAATCATTTAGTACCAGTAAATGATCAGTTGCGATAATATTCTTACGTGTTTAATTTACAACTGTCGTGGAGAATGATAGTTTAAAATGTAAATGAATCTAATAAAATGCCATCCAAAAATTTTCGAGGTTAAGAAACATTGGTTTTGTAAATGATATCTTATGAACAAGACCTTACAGACAAATATTCATTCATGAAGAAGTAAATATGTATGATCATATGATCATCACAATTATTCATTTACCTGTTATCTTTCAAGGGCGTTTGGTTTGTGTCAAAGAGTATAATAAGTATACTATAGAAAGAGGGGCAACTCGCACAAAGTCGTGGATCCACGGCGATTGTGGCGCTCCATGCGTATAATCGCTGAACTAATTTTTTTTTTTTGGTACCTATATACGTAGGCACGCTTATTTAGCTCACTATAATAATAACTAATAAGTGGGAATCTAATAAAGTTAAAATTGACATTAAATCAATGTTCAAAAATAATATACCCACTTATGTAGTTATTAATATAGTGAGCCGATATCAAGTAGCCTTCTATGAAATACCTCTATTAAAATGATTCTATTATTATTGGGGAAATAAAAACAAAATATTTTTATATTTTTGTACATTATTTATTATATTTCTACATAACTTAATTTTAAACCTATGCAAGTACATATACATCAATGACTATCAAGATATCAGCTCAATACTTTAATTTTTAATATATATATATTTGAAAATTACATTTACGGTAATAAATAGTATAGCGCGGTCACAAAAGAATGCATACCCTGTAATTAAAACCAAACCCCAAAATATTTTCAGTTACATGCAAGCTGGCAACTGGCAATTTGTAGTTATTTGCGAGTTTAAACAGTCTGAACATATTCTCTTACAACATAGGCAAGCAGATTTTTCTTTACAATAAAAAATTACAAATAAAAAAATATATTTTTTACATATACACACATGGACCCACCTACTAATTTCAGACACATCAGTTTATGGCTCTATAATTCCAGTGATTGGCACACATTTTCTGAACTTCACTGACCTTCTCTCAGGAAGGGGGAAACCGTGTATATGTGCACCTACAACAAACAAACAGAATGTGATATCCTGTCAAGTATAGGAACTGATATGTAAAATGTATTAGAAGTAGGGCACCATTCAATATGATAACCGGAAAGTATAAACCACTGTGGTGCTAAAAACTACACCAAAATACGAAAATATTTAAATGTTTAAATGAGTATGACGTATGGGAATAACATGAATTTTTTTATTGAATTGGAACTTACCATAATCAGTCCATCTAAAACACAGTTGCGTACAGCGTCGTTTTTCACGAAAACACATTTTAATTAAAAACAAAATGAATGAAACAACATTTAACTAAGAATACAAGAACAGAAATAGAAATACGAAAAAACGTAGCGGTTTGATGACACATGAATGTCTCGATGACAGAAATGATGCTTCTTCTCAGCCATGAGATGAAATGATGTTTACCATTATATAAAAGGTGGCGCCACTTTCCATACAAACCGTCCTTCTTCTAAGTTTCCACCCCCTGGTTTGTGTTATTATTATTTTTTTTAAACCCTGTATTGCCATTTAAAAATTTTAATTTTTTTCCCACACTTGCTCTAGGTACCTAGGTACTTTTTAATTACATCTATAATTTTATTTATGTACTTACAATCATATTATATATCAAATCTATGATAATAAATAAAATATTAAAAAGGAATAAATAACTAAATTATATTATTAATTAAATAGGTAGATAATACATTGACTTCACTTTTCACGTGTACATTGTATGTTTTTAGTCTATAGGTATAGAGATGGCATCTGACTTTGACAGCTTTTGAATTCTGAAGCATTATTCAATTATTCGTCAAGAATTAGGTTATGTATGTAAATTTCGCTTTTATTTATAATTTTATTCAAATGTTTTGTTTTAGTCTCGACTAAGGTATTATCACTATACATACAATTATGTCGTACGAGCCATACATTTGTAACCTAGATCCAGAAACGAAAACATCGCTTAAAATATATCTCTTCAAAAATGTTAAGAATGTGGAAGAAATACGAAGCAACATTATGAATGGTTCTTGGAAATGCGCTGCGATAAAGCCTAGTTTAATAATAGATTTATTTCAAATTGCTGTCGCGGCAAACAAAGCGGTTTTGGCGGAAAAATCGCAAGCCATGGTTACACGGACCGTCTACGCTGAGATTTTGTTTAATTTGTCCTTGTCCAAGAACATATCTCAAAGTTTGAGCAAATTCGGTGTTGAGACAGACCGGAGCCTACTGATTTGTTTCTTGGTAACAGCAGACAGTGACGAAAGTGAAACCATTCTTGAACAAATAAAAGGCGAATTATCACCAATTAGTGATTTAGAAAAGTTTACAGACATGCAAGAAGTTAAGAACATGTATAAATTAAATAATGTGAAGTCCGATGTCAGCCTCCTTAATTTGATTGTCACCAAAATGGTTACAAAAAGCTTTATTGCACATTAAGACCTTGAATTGAGATAGCCAAATAGAAAATGATATATATTGTCATACCTATGTTATATATTTCATTTACTCATATCTATGTGATCAGTGTTGGCTCAACATTGTTAACTTAAGCCAAATTTGATTATCAATTTAGAAGTATTTGCTGCTTATAACTTAATGAAGGCCATTTAGAATTTATCTTGTATATGTATGTAACATCTCTCATGTTTATTCATATTGTAATTAATTGCAGTATTTTTTCATCTGTACATATTAAATTTGTTATTTTTATATTGTTTTGTAAAAATTAAGATATAAAATTGTACAAATTCATTGCATTATCTTTCATTAGTGTCCCTCAAGGCGAGCAAGTTATCTAATCTATCATCATCATAGTAAGTTCAATGTGAAATATGTAGTTTCATTACTATTTAGTAGCATAGTTTACTATTTTGATGATGATGAAGATCAAGATATGTATAAATTAATAAAATACAAGGGCAGGTTATTTTAGTAAAACTGAAATAAGAATAAGACATTGTTATGTACCATGTTTTATTTCAACAACAACAATAATGTACAATTAAATTACACAATATGTAAAAGCGATGATAAATCAATCATTTCATAGACAAAAAGCTATAACTTTATACAACATTCAATGTTTTGATTGAAGAACCAACTTGTGAGAGAGGTGTGTCCTCGCCGCCTCCGGCCGTGCAGCCGATGTTATACTTTTGTTCAAATCGCTTGTCTTATGATGAGTAAACATTAAATGCTCAGCAGCTGCGTATAAAACTGTATCCTAATTTTAATGTTACTGGCTCACTCGGCAGACTTAACATACAAACTAAAAATAAAGACTAACATTTATGAACACCACATGTGTATCTTGTTTGTCTATTCTAATGTAAAAGAACACGATAACGTCAATTATTACGTAGTTAACGAAATCTTACAACTTATTGTTTAATATAAAAAAATGGCATCTATTTAGTAATAATTAAGTCTTAGGAACTTTCTGTAAAATCACATAATCACAAAACCTCTTCTGCCGAACTGAAGAACTCAAAATACGGATATTTTAGATAAAACAAAGTGGTCGACGCATGCGCAGTGATCAGATCCGAGGGTATCAGACCCTTATGGCCCTGCACACACCACAGAGACCAAGACAGGACTCACGTGGCCACAACTTCGCCTGATTTACGATTCGGTCGTCGAATCTCTCGGACTCTACTGGCAAGTTGATAATACAACTTGTTTGTTAATTTTTTTGTACATAATATTGTTTCCTAGTTACTTGCATAGAGAGAAATGGGGCTTAAATACATAAACACTTTCGTTTGTGTATGGTAGACATGAAATGCGTCCCCCGCTGCCGGTGCGGGGTAGCACCACTTGAACACGTGGCTGCTGGTGGCGCGCCGTTCTGGAGACCGGACCGAATCTCATTACAATAATATTAACTTCGGACGTTTACCGACACAATTATTCTGCGTACTTACTTAATAACTGAAATTGTATTGCATTTCATGATATAAAATAGCTCCTAACTAATATATAGTCGCTATTTACAGGCGACGTCCTCTGCGAACTAAAGCGAGGCAACTAGATCCGTGGAGGCGCCTCCGCCCGCTCGCACGGCCGGTACTTACTTATATGTGTTAAACATAGATACATATTTACGTCGCACGATTATTCATACCTACACAGTAAGTAATATAAATAAAATGGTCCGAGCGTCGGCGCATCACCACGTGAAACTCGAGCGAGCACGGTAGTTACTGTAAAGCGTACACTAGAAGAGCTCGGCTGCCACTTGAACACTCGCCGATGCGGCGGCGGCTCTGCTCTGCTCTGCTGCACACGCAACTAATCACATATCTACCTAACTTTAGCACCAAATGTCGCCCCGCCCCCTGCCCCGCCCACTGCACCACACACACACACACACACACCTCATCGGTGGGATTGAACTGCATTCATCCAGTTTTACTTATTAGTATATTGCAAAAATAACAGATTTACTATTTACATTTTGTAGAAAAATATAGCGAAGGCAAATGAACATAAATATCGTAAAAAATATCGATAATTCGCTATTAATTCTACTTTAATTTCATAATGAGGGTAGCAATACAACGGTGGAGATGTCTTTTGGGACGAGAGGACGCTGCGCCCGCACTTCAATGGAAACTAATTAGAAAGGGAACGAAGCACTAGGTTGCAGTAATTCGGGCCGGGAGCCGCCGCGCCTGCACGACAACAGACTCGCTCCTCTTTGCCGACTGGAACCTGTAATTGTAAGCATTTTGTTAATACAATAGTGAGTGCGTTGAATGAGGGATGCAGGACGTTAGTGTGGAGTGGTACCGCGGTGTGGTGGGCGTGGTGTGGGTGGTGGGCGTGCGGCGTGCTGCGCGCAGCTCACTGGAAGTGCAGCGGCAGCGCGAGGCTGTAGAGCGAGGGTCACCGGCGCGGCTCCGACACGTACACCGACACCGTGGAGTCCTTGGCGCCCACGCCCAGCGCGCATCTAACAAACGACCGCACATAACTACACACTCACAAACTCGAGGGACCGATCAGTCTCGTCCGTGACGTGTGACGTGTGACGTGATACCTTAGAGGGTGAAATGTGAGGCAGGAGACGGGGCCGATGCGGGCCCCCATGAACCCCTCGTGGAACTTGATGGTGTTGAGCGGCGTGCCCTTCAGGTCGTAGATGCTGATGCACTGGTTCACGGAGCCGCTGCGCCCGGCAAAATCGGAACACGTTTAATATTTAGTATGCCTTAACAATTAGGGGGAGTGGAGGAGGAAGCGGCGGTAACGTACCAGGCGAGCAGGTTGCAGAGCGGGTGCAGGTCGAGCGCGGCGAGCGGGCCGGGCGCGCGCACCACCTCCCGCGCCGCCAGCTTGCGCGTGTCGTACACGCGGACCACGCCCTCCGCACTGACACACACACACACACACGCACACCTCGTTACACTGCTACTAACATTATTCATCATTACAAACACTATTTAAATTTCTCTTTGAAAAAAATGTTATGCGTTTGCTTTTTTTTACAAGATGGAGTAAAAATATTGGGGACCGGAGGCAAACGGATACGTATAGCGGAAGTGAACTTTACGAGGGCAAAGACAAAGAAGGTGCAAATGTAGTTAGAGTGAGACCATCCGGTGAGCAGCGTGTGGGGCTGGTGCGCGCGGTGCGCCGCGCACAGCACGGGCGCGGCGTGGTCGTGCAGCGTGAAGACGGGCTCGGCGGGCGCGCGCTCGTCCCACGCGCGCACCGCCCCGTCCGCGAACCCGCACGTCAGCAGCGGCCCGCGCCACAGCGACGTCGCCGCCGCCTCCGTCTCTGCACAGAGGACGCGGTGAGTGCTTCATCCCGCACCCTCACCCGCACCTCCACCCCGACCGCACCAGAGAGTGCGGCTCCTCACCCGTGCCGATGTCGCAGCTGAGCATCTCGGCGTCGGCGTCCCAGAGACGCACGGTGCCGCAGAGGCCGGCCAGCGCCAGCGAGCGGCGCGTCTCGCTCCAGCGCAGCAGCACGGCGGGCGGGCCGGCGCTGGTGCCTGCCGCCCCGCTCGCGCCCCCCGCCCCGCCCATGCCGCCCATACCCACCGACACTGCGCATCGCAACATTACATTCTCAAACTGTATCCTTCCTTCATCCATATCCTTCTTTCAATATTTTAAAAAGGGTACATTTCATTTATACAAATAAACAAAATTCTTGGAGTCTCCCTGCCCGAGTGACCCCTGCCCTATCAAGTGGAGGCGATTTTCCCCATTTTCATATTTTAATATTATAAATAATATAATGATAGGGGAATTGACAAAATAAGTAGCTTAAAACTGTTCCTCGGACTAAATATACGCATGATATATAAAAAAAACTAAATAATAATATGAAAAGGTGACAAAGAAACATTTAAAAATGCTACAGATGCTAACAACTATAACCGACATATATTAACAGAAGATAAGCCGTTACAGCTAACTAACTAACTAAGCAATTAGGTATATTATTTTGATATAAACGAAAAAGTAAACCAAAGTGCTACGAGAGTAAGTTACAAAAATATATGAATTAGGGTTTACAAGTTCAAATAAAAGAAATGAAATGAAGCGAGCAGAGTAGCGAGGTCGCGCGACTCACGGTTGGGGTCGGAGTGGCGAGCCTTGGCGGCCGCCTGCCGCTCCTCCGCGCTGATGAACTGCTCCGACACCAGCTGCGCTAGACCTGCCACACCACCACCACCACGCCACACACACACTACATTTAGCTTCACCTCCCCCCCTCTCCCTCTCTCTCTCCTCGCACATATATCACACACCCGGCACGTGCCGGAACTTTCTTATTCTAAACATTCCCATCTCACACAAGTATATCCTTCATCAAAGTTTAACATCAAGCAATATATTTCAATAGATAATTAGATCCGGCCGACTGTTCAGTGTGAATGTGAATGATGATCGTGTGCATGTCGTGTAGATGCTTACTGTAGAGGGGCTGTGCGGGGGGCGGGCGGTAGTCAGCGGCGGGTCGCACGGGCAGCGCGCGCCAGGCCGCCGCCAGCGCCGGCGCGCTGCCGCTGCCGTTCTCCGAGGGCCTGTGTACCAGGCACACGCGCTCATTATATATCAGGGGTGATGGCGAGCCGGAAGCGAGCCGGAAGCGAGGCGGGGCGACGGTACCTGTAGACGGCGAGGTTGCCGGTGTGCGAGGCGACGGCGAGCAGCGCGCGCTCGTGCGCGTTCAGGTAGGCGAGCGCCGTGATGCGGCCCCACGTGCGCCGCCACGACCCCACGCAGATCTTGGCCGCCGTGCCCCAGTCCCAGATGCTGGCGCGCGGCACACGGACCACATCAGAGATTAGCACACCGCATACGAACACGATCACTATATGATTCAGTGCGAGAGGGGCGCGTACCCGAAGGTGTCCTTGAAGGCGACGGCGAGGTGCTGCTCGTAGGGGTGGAAGAGCACGACGGCGGGCGGCAGCGGACAGCGCGAGTGGAAGGTCTGCGTCTCGAGCCGCGCGCCGCGCCCCGCCAGGCCCGCGCGCAGTGCTGCAACACACGCACCGCCACCGTCACTCTGCTGCCAGCTGCCTGCTGCCAGCTGCCTGCTGCAGCGCACGCCGGCACCACGTACCTCTCGCGTCGCGGCGCAGGCTGCGGTTGCGCGCGCGCCGCCACACGCGCTCGTGGTGTGCGCGGCTCTCGGAGTCAGCGTCCCCGCCCCCCGCACCACCCGCCTCGCCCTCGCCGCCCTCGCCCCCCTCGCCGCGAGCGAACTGCGCCGTCGCCCACTCCACGAACTCCGTGCTTACTATTGCCTTCTTTGTACTTTGACCTGACACGAGCGGTAACACGTCAAAATATAAAAGCGAAAATATTTAACTATAACAAATAAGTTTTAAGATATGAGATCGTTTAGTTATCCTGCGGCGTAGGAGCGTGCTGCGTACTCACTAGAGTTGGAGGAGGTGGAGTCGCGGTCTCGGTGCGCCACCGAGTCCTCGGATATGGTGTGCGGCAGGCCGGACTTGCCGCGGCGGTGACCTGCGGAACAGAACAGACGCTGACACACGTGTGGGGGCGGGGGTGGAGGCGGGATGCGGGGGCGTGGCGGGCGGGCGGATATTTACCCATGGTGGGCAGCGTGCGCGTGTCGGGGTGGGGCGAGTGCGGCGAGTGCGGGGCGTGCGCGAAGGCGGCGGGCCGCGTATTGGGCGAGGGGGGCAGCGAGCTGGAACCGCTGCCGCTGCTGCTGCGCACCGCCTCCGCTTCGCGACTCACGTTATCCACCTGCGCACGAGAACACTTCGTTTCTATTTTATCCCCCGCCGGGATAGCGGCAGGGTTATCTGTCGCCAGTTACCTGGTTGGAGATGTAGTTGATGATGTCGGTGGCCATCTGCGAGACCTGGGGGTGCGGCTCCTTGGCCATGCCGCACAGCGCGCTCCACAGCTTCATGTACACCGAACCGAACCCTGCACGAAGTCAACGCATTACTGTACCACATTGTACAAGACATTCACAATCTGTACAACTTCGATAATTCTCATCGATCACTATATTTTAATGACATGTTTTGTCAATATTATAATTTTAAAAATAACATAGTAGGGTGATAGTGAGGGGAGCTGTTCGTACCGTACGCGGGCAGCGCGAGCGCAGCGTGGGCGTGTCGCGCGGGGAGCGGCGCACGAGCGGCCGCCAGCGCGTCCTGCCCCGCCTCCACGCGCCCGCCCCCGCCCCCGGCCCCGCCCACTCGCGAATCTCTGCACATACACACCATTATATCATTGTTACTTTACACAACCGGTCGCAGGGCTACAACTTTCATTTAAAACTGCATTTCTATAATGAATTAACCTTAACTGAATTTTTATTTGTGTATTTTTTTTAAATTGTTATATATTTGCACAAAATCATAGGTTAATTGTTTATAACATCAAGCCATCATGTATGAAGAGAGATATGGTCAATTAACCTTCAACTTACTTGGTACTTCTCCTCATCCTTTCTTGTATATAAACGGCGATGAAATGTTGTTCGAATATTAAAACCAGCCACTGGAGAGCTGAAAAGGAAACAGTAGATTCATAATGTGTGTGTGATGGAGATGTAGCGAGCGTGTGTTGTGTGTGTTGTGTGTGCGGCGCGTACCGGCGAGCAGCTCTGCGCGCACGAGGGGGGAGGCGTCGGGCGGCAGGCGCGCGGCCAGCTGCACGCCCACCTGCTGGTCGAGCGCGTTGGCGTGCTCGGTGCGGCCGGCGCACCCGCCCGCCGCCACGAAGGTGCCGAGGGCGAAGGCGCAGGCGGCGCGCACCTCGGGCTGCGGGTGGTGCAGCAGCGCGTACAGCTTCTCGTGCGCCAGGTCGCGCACGCCGGCCCAGCGCGCCGCGTCGTAGTTGCGCCACAGCCGGCCCAGCCCCACGCACGCCCACTGCCGCAGCCGCGCGCTGCCGTCCGTCAGCTGCTCCAGGCACAGCGATATCATCGAACCCTGACCCATACGACAAATACATTATTCTTATTATATGCCCGCTGCGATTAGCAGGACTCAAGAGATAGATAGAAGATGCAGAGAGAGAGAGAGAGAGAGAGAGTTACCTGCAGCGCCGCCTCCTGGCCGGCGGGGTAGTTGTCCACGATGCCGGCCAACACGAACGCCGCGAGCGTGCGGTGCTCGCTCTGCACACGACACATACACACATTCACACTTACTATATCAAATAAATTCAAGTCACACAAAATATATTGTCATATAATAAATAAACTCACATCCACAGATGGATCCTGTAGTATCGACAGGAAGTATTTGTGACCTTTCGCGTTCACCAAATCCACTTGACAGCTCTGCAAATCAAATATTAAATATATAATTAAATGTGTGTGAACTCAACAAATATTAGGAGAGACATAAAATAAATATATACAGTACTAGAATAATGTCAAACTGCCATCATATGAAAACTGTTTCGTCTTCTTTATCTATATTATGAGATTGGCAATTGAATTGTGTATCTGACTTTGGGCAGAGCATCGGGTCACTGGAGCTGTGTGTACAACGTATACACACCGGGTCCACGGCGATGATCTTGGCCCAGATGTAGACCATGGAGGCGCGGAGGTCGTGTGCGGAGGCCTGCAGCAGCTTGAGCATGTAGGGGAAGATGCCGACGGCGAGCACGGCGCGCACCGCCCACGCGCCCAGCGCCAGGAAGCGGCACAGGATCTGCAGCGCGCGCACGCGGTGCAGCGTGCTCAGCAGCACCTGCAGCACCATCGGCAGCTGGTCCGGCGGCGGTCGGCACGCAGACCCTGCCCACACGCACACACCATGCGTCACGACATAACATTGCCTTTACGATAAGTAAAAACAGAAAAAATACATGATTAAAAATAGAATGAATGTTAAAGAGCTCTACTTACACTTGCCGAGGTCGAGCCAGACTTGGAAGGCGGTGAGCTGGTCGCGGAAGAAGGGCGAGTGGCAGTAGTCGGGCGGGCGGTCGGCCAGCAGCGCGGGCAGCTGCGCCAGCGCCAGGTCCAGCGTGTGCTCCCAGCCCGCCCACAGCGGGTGCGCCGCCAGCGAGGGCAGCGCCGGGGACGACACCGGCGTGCAGTTGTACGATCTGCAACATATACCTCATGTAGATGAACGAACGTTCTCAATGTACAAGTAACATAAATAGAGAGAGAGAAAGTTGCCTCATGATCCTGTCGGCGAGCAGGAAGTTTCTGCAGAGGCTGGCGGTGAGCAGGTCGGCTCGGAAGAGCTGCTGGAAGAGGTCCGGCGGCAGCGAGCTCCACGCTATCGTGTCCGTGATCGCCGTGAAGATCCAGTTGAGCTCGCCCAGCATAGTGCGCCGGTCGCTCACCTGCCCCGGGATCCTGCGACACACACACCCTCAGTACCGCCTCCTTCACTACTCACACTGTCACATTGTCACACCGGCACAGGAGCGAGGTGCACTAACTTGTCTATGAGGTCGAGCAGGTCGTGCGTGGCGACGCGCACGCGGCTGCGCAACACGAACCACTTCATGGCCATCTTTACGGGGGTGGTGAGGCAGGCGGTGAACAGGTCCGCGGGCAGCTCGGGGCTCATGGGCAGCGTCTGGCCGGCAGCGCACGCGCCCAGCTGGATGCAGTTGCGGTACGACACCGCCGCGCCCGCGCCGCCGCCCCCGGCCCCGCCCCCGACCCCGCCCGCGCCCGCGCTGGGCCCCGCCCCCGATCCCGACCCCGAGGCCGCCGTATCGCGCCCGCTGGACGCCTGCATCTAATATTAATATCTCATACATATCTCTTAACTTATTTAATGAACTCTACTCTAGTATAATAATATATTACTGGGACTTGTATGTACCTCATAATCGCGTTCGTGTTGTTCAGCGAACTGCTTGAAGTTATCGACGATGATGCCGGCGTTGGAGCAGTCGTAGACGTAGAGGGAGGGCGCGCCCATCCACGTCTGCAGGTCGTACATCGACAGCGGGATGTACTGAGTGTACGCCTGACACACAAACATACCATACCGTACCATACACCATGTACACAGATACACATGTGAACACTTGCTTAACTTTGAAAATACACTCATACCCTGTTGAAGACCCATATCTCGCCCTGGTTAGTGGGCTTGGGCACTCCATGTCCATTGTAATGGAACAGAACTCGTTCATCCTTGGCGTTGCGGCGCAACGAGCAGCATAGCTTCTTGATCTACAATCAAATTCACACATTGTACAACTGCATTTCAAAATCAATTTCATTTTATAACTCGGAAATTTAGTTGTCTAAGACTAGATAAAAAAGAATTAGGATCCTTCTAAAAATAAGATGCCAGTGATATTACAGGTACATAAAGATTGTTTAAGAAGTTTGTTAACAGAATAATTGCAAAATCGTGTAGTGGCGGTCGGTATTTAGACGGCCGTCTCAAGGTCGCTGCGGTCCGGCGAACTAATTAGCCTAATTTGACCAAATTACCAGTGACCTGACCCCATAAGGCTATGATGTCAATTTTTGCAAACTGAGCTGAGTCTTAATTATTTACATACAAATGCATGAAGCAAGTGCCTTTTACTATTTATCAAAGATAGAATTAACTTTAAAAAAAAAAATTTTCTAATGTCTTGAATTGTTTGCACCGACATCCACTCAAGGCAGTAATCTTGCACAATGTTGTGCTTTAGTTATCAAAAACCATCCTGTATTATATTATATTCTGAAATAAGAAGTGAGTTGCACACTGACCTCATCACTAGTGGGGTCAAGGGACTGCTTGTATCGCGCGCGCGGCTGCCAGCGCTCGTACTGTGACTGCAGCGCATGCCCGATACTCTCCAGTGCCTTACCCGGGGACAGTGAGTTGGGATCTGTACACATATTATACTACTTTACAAATTGCATGCTATTTTCATTCCAAACTGGTGTTAGGTAGAAATATGATTAATAATGTTATGCAATGGTTCAACTTTTACTATAATTTCTTGAAGACACATTTGGACAGAAATATTACACAGTTAACAATAATAAAACTTTATAATTTGCATTTTTTTCTTGTCTATGGACCATGACCTTTGAAAGATGTAGTTGTACGTAAAAAATATTAAACAAGAGTTTTTTGTTAATGTACTTGTGCTAATGTATTTTAGACTAATCTCTAAAATAGTTTTTATATTCTGAAAATATGACATTTAAAAATAACTAATATGATTAGGGTAATCAAGTATGCAGAACAGTTACAGAATAATTAATACATAATTCAAGACCCATAACAACTGATACACAGCTCTTTTGAATGTTTTACAGACATACTCACCTATCCAACATTCGAGTCTGGCACAGGGCTGAGTCTTCACCACATCAGGAGGATCCACACCCACATTGAGGCACAGGACCAGCGCTACACAGTGTGTCTTGTACTGAGACAAATATGACATGTGTTAATGACAAACCTAAACATTAAATAACAATAAATTAATGACTTAAATGTATTTGTACTGAAGTTAATAATTATCAATCACATACTTTTATAAAACAACTGCTCCAGTATATATTTCATATGTTAAAGTTAGGTACTTGGTAGTTATCATTAATCATAAAGGGGAGTTCATTAGTTTAAAGTGTGTTAAATATTTGTTGATTGGACCAAAGGTGGTGGTTATGATAATAGGGGAGGCAATTTACATACAACTATAGAGGTTCCACTGTATTTTTATTATATTATCTGCATATAAACCAGCAATATTTGTATAACAACAATAAGAATGTCACATTGTAAGCAATTTTTGTATAAACAATTATGCCATTCCTTATCACCTTATAGATATTGTAAATTGTTGAACAGTAAAATATTGCTTCTTTAAAAATTATGAAGAATTTGACAATTTATGTTGGGCGTAAATAAGTTAATAATATCTATCAAATTATAATTACTTTATAAGTTTACATTTGTGCACTAATACCGTAAAAATCGTATATAAACATTATGTTTGACATACAAATATTGACATTTTATTTTTAAAATTATGTAAACAAAACATCAATAATAACAAAATGATATCTTTTATGAATCGTGCTTTATGTATAAAAATTACTTAATTTTAATACATTATACATGGTAGAAAACGTAAGGCATCCATCCCATGTGCGTTTGTTTTCAACGTAACGTGTCCTTCAGCAAGTTATACGCAATTGACATTTTTGCACAAAATTTACAAGGTTATTTGAATTTCTACCTTTTCTTTAACTCTCCAAGAGTGCTCTTCGCGTTCTGCACCTTTAATAGGTTCAATGTGTCTAGGTTTATCAAAACTTAGAGGCAAATCGTCTTCAGAGTCCGAACACTCACTATCTGTCTGCCCACTATTTTTCTCCTCATCTTTAACAGCAAGATAAGGAGGCATTTCTGTCATTGTCACTTAAAACTTGAACACGTTTACTTCTATTCTTAATGTTCAACGCACAATAATACGTAAAGAAAACATTTTTTAAACTTCACAGGATCATGTGCGCGTCCATTTTTCAACACCACATGGGAATAAACAATAAAGAGCTGTCTCTTTCTACGCATGGGTCATTCAGGTTGCCAAGTAATATTTTTCAAGTTTTCATTTTTCCGCTTTCAATAAATTTAATTTTAACCAATTTGAACTTAATATTTTTATTGTAATAGAAGTAAATAAAAAAATGTCGATATGGTCAATATTGCGATCAAAGGGTGATCATAATATGTTGGTGACGGTTTATTCAGAAACAAATTATACAAAGAGGAATAAAATGATATTTCAAAAAGCATTTTTGTTACGTTACAAGGAAAAATACTTATCACCCAGCAATGAGTTTAAGTTTAAGCACCTTCCCTTCAAAAGGCATGAACTCCTTGAAAATGTGACTCCTTTTTTCCTTGGAATCTTTACGTACATATAATGAATAGTATATAGCATAGTTTTAGACAACGAAATTCTAACATTACTATATAGCTATTTTACGTACACCTCAATGTCGGTTATGGGAGCTTCTTTATCACATTTTCAAAGGATTCATCCTGTCGTTCTTTTTTACTCATTTCTTCATCCTTTTACTTTTCACATGCCAAATCGATGAAATATCGCATTTCTAACATCCTCTTTCAAATCCCACTATTACTCAGTACTGGCTTTACTGGCCGGACTGGGGCGCTACAGGTCTGTGAATTACATAGTTTAACCACGTAACCTTAACTCACCCCCCTCCCCAAGGATTGTTAAAAAAGGGGGCGCTATTGGAATATCGCCCAGGGCTTTTAAACCTGCACTGCTATTACAATATACCAATAGATGGATGTTTGCTTGAATTTATCTCCGGAATGGCTTAACGGATTTTGATGAAATTTGGCCCACATGTAGATCAAAGTCTGGAAGAACCCTAGGCCACCTATTTGTTTTTTTTACTCAGCGCGGACGGAATCGTGGGCGACAGATAGTTTAATCAAAAAACGTGCGAAGAATTCACGTATGAATGATAGCCTCTGAAAACCATTAACCAGGTAAGAAAAAAAGAAAAATAATAATGACTTATGATTTAATATTCTGAGGTGTGAACTAATACCAGGAAAAAACACAAGCCACCTCATTTCAAAGCACCACAATTACTGATAGTGTCATATAAATAAACAAATTAGCAAGGCAAACATATTATTACTATATATATATTAATTAATCAGTTAACAGTATTAATGTTTACATGGAAAAATATTGGTTAATTTAATATACAGTCCTATTTTAATAAATGTTGAGCAGAAAAGACATCACATTTTAACTGCACTGCACACATAACAATTATTACACAAAATACCGTTGGGCAGACAATCTATGTGGAATGAATGCCTACAATTGTATACTATGAGGTTTGAGGCATTGGACAAGTCCCGGACAATGATCCTGCCTTGACATACATGGCACAAGAAGTCATCTGTCACTGATATACCTCTCTGTTGGCCAACTATCAATTTTTCATGTAAATCAAAATAGTTTCTGAGGGTGATAACTTTGCATGCCTCTTGCACTGACATTTGGAGATGGTAGTCACACATCATCTTTGCTAGACACTCCTTAAGATCCTTTATTTCACAGCCAGGTTGTATGTGCTGAATCAACATGCGTGGATCTACATAGTTGCCTATCCGTTTGAGTAGTAATGTGACACACTCAGGTTTGTCCACCGTCTGCTGGATGAGGTCAGTCCACAGCTCCTTATCATTATGCTCCTGGCAAAAGTTTATTGCTTGGTTTATATCATTTAACTTCTCTATTATAATCTGCAAAGCTTCTCTGGTATTACCGATCCTACTTAAAAGAAACACCATTTCTGGATAAAATTCGTTACTTTGACAAACATCTAGAGCTTCTTGAATAGGGTAGTTATCACTGCATCTTAAGAATGGCAACAATTTGGGTCGTGCATACTTTGCATATAAGTGGATAAGTTTTCCATGGTACCGTCCATTGGGCTCAATTTTGCTATAAGCATCTAGATACTTAAATAGGTATAAATCATGGTTTTCCAGCTGTTTCTCTACTACTTCAACTGGTATCTTTGTCTTGCCATGTTGCTTGTCTATGTCCTCAACAGGAAACTTCTCCAGTAGAATGGAAATGGCTCTATCACAGTCCAGTTGCATTAAATTGAGAATTTTGTCATATATTACAGTATGCATATCATGTTCTTTGATCAATTTAAAAACATCCATATGTTGTAAACTCAAGTAGGTAGTAAGGGCTTTATCAAACTTCTTTTGGTAGCAATAAAGCAAGGCTAATGCTTCCAAATAAACATTGTTATCCACTTTAGTGGTTAATAAATGTTCTAGAACCCAGTTAATAATTACGCCAGTTCTGTACAGAGATGGATTCCATTCCTTTACTAACTTGAGGAATCCTTGTGGATCTTCCTTTAGGTATTCATTTAAAATTAATTCATAAATGTGAGGACTTAACACTTGCTCAGAAACGCGAGGAATGTAGGCGCTAATGGCTCTCAATTGCTTTACTGCATCAAATTTAAGGATTTGATTTTCCCATAAAATTTTATCATTTTTGCATACTTTTGCACAGATTTTTGCTGCTGCTTCATATTGTTGATTGGTTAACAAATGATCCAAATAATCAACACCAACAGTAACTACAGAGTGCTGAGCAGTTTTGCCACCAACTTCATCTAACACTGCAATGGCTCTTTCAAACTCTCCTTTTTTGGTCAGCCAGTTGACTTTGTCGTCTATGTCATAAGGACTGGCAACTATTATTTCTTTGGGTGATACAATAAAAAATCGATTTTCTTCAATTAACATGTCTAAAAAGTAATCATTGCATGAGTATTCTTCATAACCTCGAATGTTTAATGTATCAGCTGAAAATTCATTAAATTCACAGTCTTTATAATCTGCTACAATAAGAATGGGTCTTTGAGATTTTCCAGTTTCCGGGTCAGGTTCCTTTGGGACACTGAGCAGCACAAGTTGATCATCCAAAGGGCCCAGGCCACTGATAAAATATTCCTTACTTTGAAAAGTATAAACAGGATCTACTAAGTATTCTGTGTCATCTCTCGTTTGTAATTCGATTGGGCTTCGTTTACGTATCAGACATATTCTTATTGTGTCAACCCACCCAATCATCAAAGTTTTGGGTGCAGACCAGAGTAAATTGCAACGAAAATCTTCTATGGATCTATTCAGACTTTTTTCCCATTGAATAAGACCTAAAGAACATCTAGCCACAAGGTCATAAACACGTACACCAACTTCGCTTGCCCACGCGACGAATCGGTCATGCCAGGCTATTGCTTGCACATAGCTCTCACACTCGCACAGAACTGTGCTGCGAAGACGATTCAAAAATGTCTTCTCATACAGAGTTAATTTATTATCACCTGTAACGTTAAAAAAATATATATAAATTTGATGGTTTTCCCTGATTTTGATATTAGATGATTTTACTTACTTTAATAGACTATTAAACATATATTTAAAATACAAATATATAGTTTATTATAAAAATTGATGTCATTTTTATTAATACCTGTTAAAAATCTTCTTCCAGATCCAGATTTGTAGTAGAAGGGATCCAAAGCCACTGACTTGACAACTCTGCTTAAAGTCAGGCTGTGAGTATTGTCATTGGAATATAAGCCATAAACTAAGACTTTGCCATCATCTGAACAACTTGCTATATAGTCTCCATTCTCATCTACAGATATCTTGTTAACGGCGATAGCGTGCGCTTGCAAGTCTTTCTGATTGTTACCTTGCGAAAATGGCACAGTGTTCCCTTCGTGGTCAAGGAGGTGTATGACTCCCCATTGGGTGCCGAGGCAAATAAACTTTGTATGCACACAAATACAGCTCACAGCATCAGTGACTAAAATATTTTGAACGTCATTACCCATTCTATCATATTTTAACTTCGGTTCCCCGTCCGAAGACATGTTATCATTACTCTCTTGATTTAAAGTCATGTTCATTTATAGTTGTTTCTGTTAATAGTGACAATTACATGATCGAATACTTCTGCTATAAATATTTTATAATTATTTCTTTTAGTGTTTTTCGTCGATTTCTGCGTTTTATTTCAAGTCCCTTTGTATTTTGGTATTTTAACTAAATGACAATTATGACATAAAGTTGTTTTGGGTTGCTATATCAGTTTTTAGTTTAGTACCATAGCACCTTTAATAAGTAACCTATCTGTTTTTAAATTCAAATATAAATTGTGATAACATTAATAAATTGAAGACAATATTCAATAACATTAACATAAAAATTTTCAAGACTTTCTTAAATTAGGTAGCTAAATAGAAATTTTAAAAAGTGCCATCGACAAAAATGGGCAAATTTACTTAGTAGCAATACAGGTAATCACTTTTTGCCTTTATTCGAATAACGCGCGAAAAAAATAAACAAAAACCGTCAGAAAAGTTTAAATATGAATTTAAGTAATTTCCACGAAATAACTGCACGGAAATATGAAAAACACTTATCAATCTTTGGTAGTAAAGTTTTAAAAGTTTTGGTTGAGCAAAACACCAAAGGTATAATATAATAATTATTTTTAATGGATCTTTGAAGTCATCGGAAGTTAATTAATCAAAGAAAATAGAGTGAAGGAACGAAATATATATTTTTTCTATTACAGATGACTTTCTTAACTACAGAAATCGTCTTAACAGAAACAGTACACGTCGATATTCTTATATCGAGTCCTCCAAGTAAGTTATTTATCAGCATAGGCGTCGTCAAGAGAGGGCAGGGACCGAGGATAGCTGCCTCTGCTAAAGAATGGGAAAATTATAAAATAGACATACACTACTAAAATAAACTTAGATGCCAACATTACAATACATCCACATAGATAACATAAAAATTATAATTCATTTTTTTATAAACGTATGGACCACATGGCGGGCAAGCGTTCCTTTTGGAATAAAATAACTATTACTACTACTTAGATTGCCGATTATTGGGATAGATACATCTAGATCTAAGAGCCCAGATCATCGGTTGGCGACGCCTTTGTTATTCAGTAATGTTTCTCCATATTCATACCTTATTTATTTAATAACTTTAGTTAATTACTTACATTTTTAAACATTTATAGCTTTACAAATGTCTTTCCTTTTCTGACAGCGAAAATAATGTTATCGATTTCATAAATTATAATTCGAGCACCGAGTGCCCCAATCTTCAAAACTCAGTCGATTTGACCGTTAGAAATACTATATCATTTGAAACTCCATCAATACATAAATCAAATGAACTTGTTAAATGTGTACGCGAAGATAGGCGTCTTGAAATAACTAAGCAAAAATTTACTTTAAATTCACCTTACAATGACATCGTACCAGTTCCGTCTGTTAGCACTTTATTAAACACTATAGATGACGAAGTACTTATCCAGGATAGCAAAACTTCAGATGATGCCGGGGAAGTATTGTGGGAGAATATGTTTGATACTGAATTACTACTGGATATTAACAATACAGAAAATGATAGTTGTAAAAATTATAGAAAGACATCGAAACTGTTCGAAACAGGGTTCCCTGATAAACCGGTAGAAAATAAAAACAGCAAAGAACGCGGAACTACAATTTCGAAAAAAAGGGTAAAAAATCGTCCCGGTGGTATTGAAGACGTCTTACCAAAAAAGGTAAAAAAAGTTCCCGAACTCAGCAAAGTAGTCAAACCGAATTTTCGAAAGCAAAAGTATTCTAAGAAAGTTAAGAAATGGCTAAATGATGTCGATCCAGCTAATCCAGTAGATGATACAGAGGTGGCAAAGGATGCCACCACGCGTGACAATGAACCAGAACAGGATACCGCAATGAAACAGGACAATTCTATAGAAATAACAGCTACAAAGATCATAGAGGGAAGTAAAACTAAAAAGACTGTACAAGCGCAATTAACGAATCAGAATGGCGTTATGAAATATTGCAAACCCAAAAATGTAAACGAAATAAGTAACGATGATAAAAGAAAATCTTTAATAGAAAATAGTAGTACTAAAGAAAAAAGTGTAAAGTCTAAATTTATTCCCCCGATTAAATCCCAAATTCTTGTTAAAGAGATTACTTACGAGATAGCAACATTTGAAAATGAACCTTCTAATAATTTCTTAAATTTCTTTGAATATAGTGACGAAGAAATAATTGTAACTCTTATTTATAGGTAAAATAAATAATCCCTACAATACAAGTCTGTATATTTCGATCACACGATAAAAAGTATAAAAATTGTAAATTATTTCACAGAAATGGCTTTTGTCAATTAAATAATCAGCACACCGAAGATGTGGAAGTCGTGGAGGGAATAATGTTTCTTGCTAACGATAAATATTATCATATTACAAATGCTTTACAAAATTATAGGTGTGAAGACAGTTTAAAATAAATGATGTTAGAATTGAATCACTATAATCTGAATTTATGTTTATTTATCACGTAAAAATATTTCAGAGATACGTTACAGACATTTATGAATAAAAATTCTTGGGTTTGTTACGAAGGGAAACATGTTATTACATATTTAGTAAATAAATTTGGGATTTCAATCGACGTGAGCAATTCAAAATTTCTTGATGTAAAGGTAAGACACTACTATGACTTAACGGATTAAAATGTTTTGTTAAATGTGGGATTAGTTCCGGACTTAAATACTTTGTTTCTTTTCCGCATTTAGGAAATATACATAATATCGTAAGTTAAACTTTGCAGGTCGGTGGGAGCCTTCTAGACCCCGACAATCCACCCAATAACTTTACAGAATTACAAAGAGTGATAGGTTACGTGCCGGAGTTTACCATAGCGACTGAGTGCTGCCTGCAGAAGGCGGCCTGGTACCTGGCGCTGTTGCACAACTGTTGGCAGAGACTCCGGCAATCGCTGCTCGATCAAGGCCTGTGGAAGGTCTTTGTAGATATCGAAATGCGAGTTTTACCTATCATTTCAGGTATTTCTAAGATTTACTAAGGCTAAATTAACCTAAAGCTTGATCAGTTTTTAGGTAATTCGGCTTTAGTTTTTAAGATGTCCTAGAAAAGATATATTTGTATAGAGTATAACGGTGTATAACGGAACCGCTCGATCAGAGATGGAGAGAGTGGGCGTGTGCGTCAACATGGAGAAGCTGCAAGTAATGGAGCGGGCGTTGTGTGAGCGCGTGAGGTCGGCCGAGCTGGCGTGCCACCGCGCGGCCGGCCGCGTCTTCCAGCTCACCTCCGCGCCGCAGGTCCGCGCCCTCCTCTACGACGAGCTGCAACTCCACTCCCACTGCAACCTCAACATCCGGGAGACCATCCGCAAGGGAGCTAAATCCACATCCGAGGCGATGGTTGCGACATTCATTTACTTGTTTTTTTAACTTTGTACCATTTGGATCATATACATTTTGTATCATCATCTTTTGCAGCTTCGAAGTTTGATGTACAAACACCCGCTGCCCAAACTGATCCTGGAGTACCGGCACCTGCAGAAGGCTCACAGCACCTTCCTGCTGGGGATAGCGCAGTGCGTGCACGATGGACTCGTCAGACCTGTGTGGTAACATTATTATATGTACTCAATTCACTAAGTTTTAAACATTGCGGTTTGGTTCCAGCATACATATATTAATGAAGGAAGGTCCTTGGAGCCGGACATTATTAAAACTAAATTTCTTTGTTTATTTCATGTTTTTGTTATCATATTGTTGATTCAATTATTTCATTTTTCGTCAAATTTCTGAGATTCTGTAATCAGGGAGCAGAACGCGGCTGCCACGGGCCGCATCGCCTGCAACTCTCCCAACCTGCAGGCCGTGCCCAAAACACCCTTCAACCTCACTTTGTTTCGCGAGGACGACGCCGCACACGGTATCGATTACTTTTCAATCGCTTTGATTCTTACTTTATTTACTTTTACATAATGTAAGGATTTTGGATTTTGTTTGATAAAGAGGAGGAAGCCCTGAACCTGCGGTCGGTGTACGAGAGCCGCTCGGGCTGGCGGCTGGTGGCGGCGGACTTCCGGCAGGTGGAGTGCCGCGTGTTGGCGCTGGCGGCCGGGGACGTCCAGCTGCTGGACGCGCTGCGCTCCCCCGACCTCTTCACGCTGCTCGCCGCCACCTGGTCCACACGCACACACTTTATTGCATAACCTTAACAAGATTGAAGCGCTTGGAAATTTGACTCGAGTGCATTTTCAATTGTAACGTTAGGTGTGGGAGGGGTGGGGGTGGGGGTGGGTGTGTTGATCTGTACTAAGTCTGTGTCGTGTGCGGCGGCGCAGGCTCGGCAAGGAGGAGGCGGCCGTGAGCGGCGAGGAGCGCGAGCGCACGAAACGCGTCGTGTACGCCAGCATGTACGGCGCCGGCGCCAACAAGCTCGCCGACGTGCTCGGCCTCGGCTACGAGCGCGCGCTCGAGGTCGCCGCCAGCTTCGACCGTCAGTGTCGCTCTCTACCGATTGTTCTACCGAACAGCACGATGTGCGGCGAGCTGACGGTCGTTATCTCAGGCGCGTTCCCGTCGCTGAGGAGGTTCGGGCGCGAGGTGGTGGCGCGGTGCGAGCGGGACGGCACGCTGCGCACGCCCTGCGGCAGAGCGAGACACTTCCCGGACATCGCGAGCGGGAACGCGGGCGCCCGGGCGCGGGCCGCGAGGAGAGCCGTCAACTTTGTCGTACAAGGTCAGCTTGAGCCGCGGTACGTTCGCGCGGCGCTCGGTGTCGGTGCACGGCGGCGGTGAGCCAGACGTTGTCGATCGTGTGTCAGGGTCCGCGGCGGACGTGTGCAAGATGGCGATGGTGTCGAGCGTGTGCGCGCTGGCGGGGCGGCGGCCGGCGCTGCGGGCGCGCCTGCTGCTGCAGATACACGACGAGCTGGTGTGGGAGGTGCACCAGGAGGATCTGCACCGGGCCGCAGGTACGCACCGCTCCCGCGTACTGAATGTTCACACAGTACACCTGTTATGTTTTACAGTAATCACGATTTCAAGGGTTTCGAAGGTAATAAGACACTTTTGTTTAAAGCGACAATTTTTTTAAAGTGTGCCTCTTTTTGGTTTTCATATATTTCGTTGCAAGAGCAACCTATTCCTTTTTTTTTGGGAGTTTTCTTTTATCGGAGGAATGCAATAAAGTGGTAGTACATTTTGATATAACAGCAGTGATACAGAGTGCGATGGAGGGGTGCGGGTCGCTGTGCGGGGTGCCGGCGCCGCTGCCGGTGATGCTGCGCTGCGGACACAACTGGGGGGAGATGGAACTATTTACTCCACAGACAGAATAAACTATAAAAACGAATACTTGTCTGTGATTTATTTTAAAAAAAGAGTACTTTTACCTTACAGCGTAACAAGTCCTGATATCTTAAACAAAATATCTTAAATATTCTTAATGGATGACTTTATCCCCGCGCTGCTTGTCTCATTCATGGAAACTATGTTTGTTTTAAGTTTAACAAGTAAAAATAAAAGTAATAAATACAAACATCATAAGACATAAAAGCATTTATTACGTAATTAATTTGATTTGTACATACATTTGAAGTTTTTCAGAATTAACCAAGAAACATGTATTTTTACTATACTTAATTTTTATTATATTAAACATTATCTTTTCATATTTTATAGAGACTTTGGAATAGACTAGTCGATGAAACGAGTTTATCTTTCAAATTGTTGGTGAATTGAATATAAAGTAAAACAAATATTTTATTCTACATAGATATATTAGTATATATTTATAATATTCGTAGCATATGGTACATTACTATGAGCGAAAATCACTTATTCCCCGTCCAGCAACAAATGACAATAATCAAAAATGAACACATCTATTACATGACAGATTTAATATGTTATAATGTTTCAGAGACTAATTTATTCAAATGAACTATAACACTATAGCTTTTATTATTAAAAAAAAATTATTGCACCCCGTGCTGTATTTCAATGAAACTTAAAACAACTGAGAGTTAACCTAAACAAGTGAAATCTTTGACACAGATCCCTTGATAGGCTTATAAAAGTTCAAATGTAATATTTTATACAGTCAGTTCCGTCATTTTATTTTATCACAATACAAGCAAAACATTTTACGACTCCTTTATTATAAAGCATCTAAGCTTGTCACAGAACTTTATTCCTTTTTTGCATGAAACAGTTTCAATTGATCAAGTTTTGACACCAATCAGTGTAAACAAAGTGTTTCTATGCACACTCTTGACTGAATACTCTGCATTACCGAGTCCATCTTTGCTATAGTTCATTTGGTTCTCCGACAAGATTCTGCTGCGTTCACTATTCTTTTGCTCTTGGGGGTGGGCCAGCATTGTGTATCTTGACAGTTCGCGCGGGTATCTGAAATTTATTTAATTTAATTTGTCACCAGCACTATAGCCTATGCTTACATAAAATAAAAAATAATGATGAATAAAAACTAACCTTAAAACTTTTAAATTCTTTGCCTTCATCCTGCCTGCAAAGTCGTCATCCTCTCCGCCCCACCCTTCAAATTTATTAGAGAACCCATTAACTGCAATATACTGGTCGGAGCGTATGGCGAGTGCGCCGCCGACAAGGTAGTTGTATGTTAACACAAATCGGAACTTGTCTATGCTCGCGCTCATGTGCCGAGGCTCTTGTAGGCAGGCGTACAGGTTGCCAATGTCTAGTGGCAGCAGGTCAATGTCGTGCAGAATAAGGCACGGGAACCTGTCTGCGATGGCTTGCTTAGCTCCTATATTATAAAGCAGGCCTTTATTCCAAGGTTTGTCATCTTGTTGCTCTATTATGTAAATACTGAAATTCAAAATAAACATATTGTTTGTTTTATTTATTTTACAAATAAAATAAATACGAAATCAATAAAGGAACTGAGAAACATGTTTAATATACTTACGTGTAATGGATGCCTTGTTTCCTCAAGAAATTATGCATGTATGGGATAAATATGTCTAATTGGCTCTGTCTATTTCTGTATGATACCAAAATGGCAACACTTAAGAGCGGGTTGCAATTCTCTGGCGTGTAGCTTCCATTAGCTAACCCATTGGTTGTGAAGTCACCAAACTTCCTTGGTACTTCCTGTGTGTCAATGGAACTCGTACTTTGCAGTATCCCATCATAGTTACATTTCGGTTTTTCCTTATTTATTTCTAATTTAGGATTTGTTTTAAAAAAGATGTTGGTCAACAATTGCTCCCGAGGTATATGTTCATAGTGATAGCGTCCATATGAAGCAAAAAATTGTATAACTGCTACCAGACATAGCAGAAACACTATACATGAGCTGACTCTTATCTGCAGAAGTTTGTTTATTGGAAACCATTTAGGCATTAGGATAATCTGGTATTACTTTAATAGATCTTGACTATGCCTTTTCATTTACAATAACCTGCAAAAAAACATGAATAACTATTAGATAGTTTCATGCTATGAAGTCCATTTAGAAATTGGTGAGTTACATGGTGGTGATTATATATTGCAAGAAAAGTTTGCAGTCAAAGTGGGGGCCAGCCTCTATGTGACAGTAAAATTAGTTTAATATCACTGTTCATTTAGGTTAGTTGAGCAATTTTAAGTAATTACAAGGGGGCCATTTCTGATAACATAAGGAAAGATTACAATGCGTCATTGTAAACTTGTATTTTTTTTAAAAGATTCCTGGACAAGAATATTACGTTTTTGTTAACCACTAAAGCTGTTATAAATTTAAATTGTACCTGTTTTTAATTATTTATTAATATATTTATACCAACTTTAACTCGGTTCACTGGTGACAGTGATGTCAATGTCAATCAAAGCAATCAGAAGTGATCAGAAGGAAGACAAGCTGGAAAAAGACAATTCAGTGTTGCAATGTTAAATATTAATGATTGCGCCCTGTTGTCTATGTCAAAAAAAGGTCACGATACTTTTTGTACTGTACCGTCATGTTATTTATTTTGCCAATTTTCTATACCTACGTAGGTCTTAAATATTTTTTGACAGAACGAACTGCGATGTATCACGAATATTTGCGATATGAGCCTTCGTAACGTCATCGACAAAATATATCAGAATTTGTTAGAAATTGATGATTAATTTATGTCCAGTTTTTACAAATGTTGACGATGACGGTAAGAAAATGTTCTCACGAATATTCAGTCTAGGACCTCAGATAGTCTTGTTTGTTTGGAGAAGACATGAAGTTTCATAATAATGGCATTATGAGTGACAACAAGATATACCCTTGTCTTTTATAATATTATCGGTTTTGTTACTGTTACTTCAAATAGTTTAAGATATAGATAGAACTTCTAGAATTATTACTCGGGGAGCATTGTTCACTTTGCAGATTTGGTTATAATACTTTATCCTATTTATGGCACATATTCTTTGGATGCTGATTAAAAGTTTTGCTTGTTTTCTTTGTTAACCAATTTCGACTTTCCCACAACAAACTTGCTAATGCTACTATAACTCTTATGAATAAACATTCCTTTTAATATACCACAGAAAAAAAAAATGATCATGGGAATTTAAACTTAACAGCCAAAGACATTACATAGAGGATACTCTGCTGATTTTGACATGATTGACCAATAACAAATACATTTTTCTTTGTCCTAATTCTATTGGTATGTACATTACATCTACCAATTGCATTTAATATAAATTGAATGGCATAAATTGGACAAATTCTAGAATGTAATAAGGTCATACTCGGCTAGTTATTGTAATATATTGGCATAAACACATTTTAGTTGTACAATACTTATCAATAGTGACACACATCCTGATTTCTTTATCAAATCTAGGACAGGCTAGTCCCACACTAATGGGAAATATTCCGCTATTGTCCTACTTTACAAACATTTTTCTAAGAATCACTAATTAATTATTTTGTTTCAATCTGTGAAAATATCTTTGCTTACTTGGACTCCCTTTGAGTGCCCATAACATTTTGTGTTATTAATTATATTTAGTTAATTATATATTATTTGTGTTATTAAATTACTCAAAACAAATATTGAGTACCTAACCTAAGTATATTTGTTAACAACAATTTAAAAAAAAGAAATAATTACCAGTTTTTAATGTAAATTAATTTATATGATGAACCATAATGGCATATCACCTGTACCTTTGCTAAAGAGATCTAGTTTATTTGGTAGTGTGTCGTAAGATAGGAGCAAGATTAAATAAAGATGACAAATAGAATAGTGTGGTAATGTTGATTCTAAATAGAACATCTAGCGACGCACATCAATTTATATTTCTCAATGAAATATATTATTGCGTTTAATAACTGTGGCATTGACCGATGTTCTGATTACTAATACACTTTGCAACTACATTTCAACGCATTTGTTTACGTGCATTCATATAACCCGCCATTGTGGAGAACATTTGTCAATGTCACTGTGAAGTTTTGACTGAAAGTAAATAAATCGTGTTGTTTTGGATGAATTACAAATTAAATTTTAAATTAAACAAAATAAAAAAGTTTCGTGCTTCGTTCATTAAATATTGGCACTCACTGATTTTATGAAAAGACAATGTCGCAGATTTCACAATTAAGTTTGGCTCCGGAACTAACCTGCAGACCTTTAGATACATACGACGAGATTCTGGAATTCTTAAAAGATCCTCCTTCATGGAGAACCCTATGTACAGAGCTAAAGCCTCATAGCCAACAAGCTATTAGAAACGTAGACATCAATAAAGATTTCGGAAAAACATTTTTGGAAACCCCGCAAACTTTCTGTCATTATATGACGGATACGGAAGACTTAGCTGAACGTCAAAATATTAAAAAGTTACCAAAAACTTTGGTATGTCACGATATGGCAAACGGATATCATGATGACTGGTGAGTTTAATATATTATAAAAAAAATAACTAACTTTAAATTTATTATTTTTAATGTATAAAAATTTTAACGTACAACAGAGATTGTTTTAAAATTATTTGCGCATTAAAACTATTGTACTCTGCCATTACATATTGTATTTTAATGTAACATTTTAAAAAAATATCAATATTAATACTTATTTTTAATTGCTGTATAAATACTTATTCCAAAAAATTTGATCAACACTTTTTATTTCAAGTTAAAATTAAAACTGATTGGATTTTTTTTTCGTTTTTAAATTAAAGAGTATGCACTGGCACAGTGTTGTTTGTTTCATTAATTGTATTATATTTTTATATTTTATTTCAATTCCAAAAAACCCTGATTGTCGTGGAGTTGCGGCCACATAGCATTAATAGCCAGGTTTAATTTTTAATTACCTTTCATACTACTCAGCGTGGTGGACGGTACAAATGACCATGAGGCGTACACATTTTACAACTGGGGCGGGATTGATATTTTCTGCTACTTCAGCCACCACCTGGTAACCATACCTCCACTGGGATGGATCAATATTGGTCACGCACACGGTGTTCAAGTTATTGGTATGTGTTTTGTAGTCCCAACTTCATTTTCTGTTCTTCTGTCTGAAGTCTTGCTTTCTCTCTATTTATATTATATGTCGAGGAAAGAAAACAAACTATCACATTTGCGACAGGTAAGTTAATTTATCTAGCTGTGTATTAACACTCGCTACTGCCTCCATAGGAACAATTATAACAGAATGGAGCGAAGGGTCGGCTTTTTGGGAAAATATTTTGTCTTCAGAAGACAAAATGGAAGAATTTGCCGACGCTTTAGTCTACATCGCGAAAACGCTCAGTTTTGATGGCTGGCTACTGAACGTCGAAAACAAGGTTTGTTACAACTATTTATTTACATTCTTCATTTAAATCTTCACATGGACAACATAGCATTGTCACAAAATACAATTTAGTGTGTTGTGCGTGGGAAGTATGTAATAGTAGGCGGCGTGCGCAGGTGTCGCGACCGCGCGAACTGGTGTCGTTCGTGCGGCTGCTGCATGGGAAGCTGCGCGCCGCGCTGCCGCACCCGCTGCTGCTCTGGTACGACAGCGTCACCGTCGCCGGACACCTCAACTGGCAGAACTGTCTTAATGAAAAGAACAGGTTTGTTTTCTTTCTTGACTTTGAGAATTCTCCTCTTCGGTTTATGGTGATGCTTTAATGTTATGTATGTTGCTGTTATATGATTAACTTGGGTTGTCATCGTGTAGTATCTAACGATTTAAAAATAAATGATGTCGCGATCCAAAGCTGAGGGGTCGGTGCTTAGGTTCAGGAGATAATAAGAGTTGAGAGTTGATTAGGGCATTCTTCGACGCTTGCGATGGAATCTTCACAAACTACTCGTGGTCTGAGCACGAGGTGCGCGCGAGCGCGGTGGCAGCAGGCGACCGCCTCACCGACGTCTACGTGGGGATCGACGTCTGGGGACGCAACTTCTACGGCGGTGGCCAGTTCAATACGCAGGAGGTGAGCAAATATTTTTCCGTCTTATGGTATTTTCGGTCCGATGCGGTGTTGCTTGCGGGTTGATAGATTCGGTGTGGCAGGCGGTGAAGGTGGCGCACAGCCACGGGTGCTCGCTGGCGGTGTTCGCGCCGGCGTGGACGCACGAGGCGCGCTCGGACGCGTCCTGCGACGTGGACATGTTCACGCCCAAGGTCAACACGTACGAGCAGTTCCTGCTGCGCGAACGCGCGCTGTGGGGCAGCCTGTGGCCCTACCTCAACACCAAGCTGCCCTGCGCGCTGCCCTTCGCCTCCTCCTTCTGCCGCGGTCAGGGCGACAAGCGCCGCTTCTATGGAGAAGTATGGTGTCCGATTTAAACTATACACTAACGACCAAACACGCAAGTCGCGTAATTACCGACGAGTTAGCTCCGTCACCAGAACGATCGCAGTTTGTTTTTCTTTTTTTTCTTTTATTATGACACACTTTCATAGAAGTAAAAACACGTTATTTTAAAAATGGTCGTGTGTAGGTAATAAGTCCCGGGCCGTGGTACAACTTGCGGCACATGCAGTACCAGCCCAACTCGTCGCACGGCCCGCACGGCTACCTGCTCTCCGTGCTCGAGAACATCATCAATGCCTCTCGGCACGGCTTCTTCAAGGACAAGGCGGAGATGACGCGCTGCAGGCGCTCCCTCGAGCTCACCAGGAGTGGATTGTCCATAAAAGATAACAAAAAACCTTCCGTTGAAGCTCGCAGCGTGTCGCAACTCTCCGTAGTAAAAGAAACTAAATCGGAGACTGCCGGCGAAGAGGACAACACCATCCCCGTCGAAGAAAAAGATGAGAAGACCGAAAACGAAGAAAAGTCTACGAAGTCGCGTAAAGTGACCGACGCTTTCCGAAATTTGTTCAAGATAGCTCCGTCCAAGGAGCCGGTGGAGCAGCCCGAGCCCAGCGCCGCGGCCGCAGCCGGCGCGGAGCCCGACACCGACGCCGAGGCATCCGACAGCTCCATGATTCAGACCTCCTTGAACATACGCCTCGGTCAGAACCCGAAGAAGATTCGCCTCGCCCTGGCCCCCGTGCCCAACGAGCTGGAGTGCCTGCAGCCTTACTTTAAGGATAGTTTCATCGGCGGCTCGTGTCTCAAACTGAATCCCTCGGACAAGGTGGACCCGGCACACCGGTGCGCCAGGCTGCTGCACTGCGACTTTCCCATCGACGGCGACTTGGTCGCGTGCGTCGTTACTAAAAATTTGCGGACTCATCCGGATCAATATCTGAACGTGGTCCTGCGCGTGCTGTCCGCCACCGGCGCTCAGATGAGGATCGTATTATTCGGAGGCACCGTTTCCCAGGGCGAGGGCCCGCCGGCGAGCGGCTCCTCCGTCACCTACGTCTTGCCCTTCAACTCCGACCCCGCCTTCGAGGACATTCAGAAGTATATGATGCTCAACGAGCCGGGATTCTACATCCCCGTGGAGAATCATTTCGGTTGGAACGTTAGGTAAATACAATTATTTTTAACGATTGTATAAGAAAACTGTTTAGTATATAAGGTTGGTATACGACGTCTCCCGGGCAGATACTACCTGGTGAGCGGCGTGCGAGACGTGCGGGGCGCGCGCGTGGCCGGCGTGGACTGCCGCACGGGCCGCCCCGAGGGACCCGTACTGCTCGGACACTTCGGACTCTGCCAACACTCTAACGTGAGCAAACTTTACATTTTGTAAAATGCAATTTCATTGCACAAATATTAATGTCATTCTTGAGAAACACGGAAAATATAATCATGTTTTTTCCAGGTGGCGTAATCAGAAGAAGCTATATCTCGTAGCCAAATATTTATATTCCATGTTGGTACTATGTATATTGTACTAGGTAAAATTGTTTTGTATTGTAAAGTACGATTTAATAAAGTATATCATTTTTAAGCTGTTGTTTTCCTTGATCAGTTTGATATCGGAACTCGCAGAATGCTACAGCTCGGCAACATTGCAACCTCTTCATATTACAGTTCTCACGTGAGCTAATTACATATTTTTATGATTTAAATTTAAAGTGAGAAAATATACGTTCACTTCATTGCTCGCCATATTTTTATAATAATTAAATCAGTTTTCTTACGAAATTTTAATTTAATAGGCGATTGAGGTACATAAATATTTTCTGAATTTATGCCTAGGGACTAATATATAAGTAGTATGTACTTTGTTAGTTGTAGTTTGTTGCTTTAATTTAGACAATGAACAAAAGTGTAATAATCTTTGAATCCATAAACTGTCTTTGAACAAATGAAATGTGTTTAAAGCTACATTTATAATAGAGCAAAATACAAAAATTATATGACATGTTATTGTATTATTTAGAAGGAGGAAGATTGCGATACGTTGATAATGCAGATAATGCTTGTTGAGATAAACACACGACTTGATTTTATTTTAACTCATTCCTATATATTGAAACAATACTGGCAGTTATATCAAAGGATAAAAACTGTCGCACTCAGGTTATTTGGGTACGTAGGTTTTGTTTAATTATTGGGACATTAGCTAAATACATTTATCGCGATTAAAATTCTTCTTGTTGGCGATTTGCATAAGATTACAACTAGATAACGTACCTTTCGTAAACTTGGGTGATTTTTTACGTCATATATACCGAGATATAGTTAGTTTTTCTTCTATTTGTTCCGCTATTTCCTTAGTCATATAGTTAAAGGACAATAATACAAGCAACATATTCATCACAAAATGATATGTTCCTTATGTTTATACGTCAGGATATCGTCTTATTGCTTCGGTCGAGATTTTAACAAGTACTAGGTAAGCAGCAATAATAACGCCCGTTGCCCAGTCGTGCGGAAGCGAGCCTGTAACGTAGCGAATAATAAAGTGCGAGACATATGAAGGCTTTCACAATTTCTTTGGTAGTTTTTACGACGGTCGGCGCGGACGACGATTTCATGCGGCGTAGTTTTCAATTTCATATCGATATGTTTAATGAGATACAGTTTGTTCACCCCAGCAGCAGCAGCAAGCTGCCGGCGCCGCGCTCGCGAACCACCGCTCACGCAGACGCGTTTTACTACTTTTAAATATACATATATGTCGTTAAATGTCGCCATGTTATTGTGTCGGTCTTCAACCCGCAGCTATTTTATTTAAATATATAATTTTGACGTGTGTCGGTTGACCGTGGACATGGTTAACTTTCCGGAACGGGAAGAAGGTATTTTTGTCACGGTAATTATTTTATAAACTCTCTGTTGTTATCTGTAGTGCTGTAATCTGTAGTGCAAGTTAAACAAGTTGTTAGCAGATCAGGGAAGATAACGAACATAATGTACGTAACGTAAGAGATAAAAACACCAACAAAAACGAGTAGCTATGATAGAATGTATTGTGTTGTTTCATTTGTGTAAACAGAGTTTGAGAAGAAGGACTCGGCGAAGTTTGGTTTAATATTATATTTTATCGTTTTTAATAAAAAGTTATAGTAATGTCAGTTATTTGGAAAATACTTCATTTTCTTGTAATCGCCACAAGAATTCACTTGTACTATTGTAATGGAGTAAGTACATCAAAACGCGGCCGTGGGTTTGAAATCGCTATATGTATCCTGGACTCGCTATAGGTGTCGCAAGCTTGAACCAATGTCCTGGCACAAGCTTAGTTTAAATTAATACAAATATATTAAAAGTAACTCAAAAAGAAAAGCAAAAATAGACAAAATTTCGTTACCACTCTATACTATATGTGTTACTGTAGTACTTGTTATTTTTAAAAACTGGAAGTGACGGTGACGTTAAGCAGCACGATGACGTAAGATATTTTGTGTGTTTAAATTAATTTTATAAATTTGAATTGTAAATATTGATCGAATAATGTTTTGACTAGCGCTTAAATACTTTTGCTATTAATTAAATGCAGGCGCATGATAAGAAAATAGATAAAAACAGGACTTACATAAAAAAATCGTTGAATTAAAATAAAAGAGATATGAATGATCAAACATTTATAATGCATACAAATTATTGTTATTTCAAACAAACAACTAATTTTAACAGTGGTAGGCAAAAACCCGCAGTGATAACGGATTTCTTTTATGTTAACTTTCTTTTCCAAACAAAATTATTTGGTGAAATAAAATAAAAGTGAGGGCTATGATAAAGCGAGGTCCACTTCACACAGAGAAATGCCGCGATGTAAGAACTCGTGCGTATTAAATGTAACGCATGCCGATTTAAGGTTTTTGACCTTTACGCAGACAAAATCGTGGTAAGTAACTAGTCACGAAAAATTATGGTCATTGTTTAATAAGTGCCTGGACATTATTAATACATTAAAACCAATTAACCTGTTAACACTGTTGTGTTTGTTGATGGTTTATTGCAGGTATAAGTTTCGGCAAACGTTGGACGCTGTGGCGTGGTCGGGAAAAACCGGCACGGAACTTCGGATTCAGTTGAACGGTAAGCAGATTTATATTTCTCAAATAATTATTGAAACTGTAATCAAATTTAATATGTTTAGTAACAATTTTTAATTTAAGGGATAAGGGTAATGGCAGGTTGATGATGAGTAACAATTTTTAAATTATTTATTTGATAAATTAAATATTGATAATGTTAAATTATGCAATGAGTTAAATGGTGTTTGTCAAATAATGATAAGAACAAGTTTCTATCATTTGTCGTAACAAGACTGTGATGAGTGTTGGCGATGCGAGTTTCTTTTAAATGTTTCATATTTTGTAAAATTAAAAACATTTCAGCAATATAATATATTTCATTGACAGCATGGCAGGTCAGTGGGTGGCGGGGAGTGCGTCGGGCGCGGCGTTCTCGTCCGCGCTGCAGTTCTTTGCGGCCGCGCAGTGTCTGCTCGGCGAGTCCTGGCCACCACACTCCAACATCCGCAGTATGTTTGTACAACAGTCTCTCTTATACTTGATATACATATGTAAGATATACATTTAAATGTAGAGGAGGTACACTTCGGTAGTAAGTGTTTAGTGTTCAGAATATCAAAATGATCTGGTATGAATTTGCAGATGGTTCTAGTTACGACGTGATCATAGTGGGGGGAGGCAGTGCGGGCGCAGCGCTGGCGGCGCGGCTCAGCGAGCTCAGCCGAGTCGGCGTGTTGCTGATTGAGGCAGGGGGCGACCCACCGCAAGACTCTATTGTGAATATTTCCCTAACGTAAATCTTGAGAATATCAAAATAATGACAATACAATAGCAGCACAGACATCAATATAAGTGGAGTGGATTATAGATAGAAATTCATCCTTCGATCTATTACTATTTTTGTATTTTTTAAATTAACCTATTTCAGGTACCCGGTTTCAAAGATGTGCTAAAAGCGAGTCCGTATGACTGGAACTTCACGACGGCCAACGATGAATTCTCGAGCCAGGCGCTGCAAAGCGGCAGTCAGAGCCAGCCTCGCGGGAAAATGTTGGGCGGCAGCGGTAGCTTGAATGACATGGTCTATGCTAGGGGCTTCCCCGCTGATTACGATGACTGGGGTGATGAAGAGTGGACGTGGGATAAAGTACTGCCATATTTTAAGAAGACGGAACATTTAACAGACGAAAGGATAGTCGACGACCCCGAGCTGGCCGAGTACCATGGTTTCGGCGGGGAGATGGAGGTCTCAGGGAGGAATGAGTCTACCCACACCACCGACAAGTTTATTGAAGCATTTCAGGAATTAGGATTTCGCCTCGTTAAAGATATGACAAATCCGCAAAATATTGGAGTGGGACGATTCTCTCACAATATGAAGGATGGCCAGAGACACAGCTCACTCACGGCGATGCTTAATAAGGCAGGAAATAGAAAAAATCTGTTTGTTTTGAAAGAGTCGCAGGTTGTTAAAGTTCTAATGGAAAATAATACAGCAGTGGGTGTTCAAGTTGTGAACGAAGATGAAGTGTATCATTATTATGCGAACAAGGAAGTTATTTTATCAGCGGGTACATTTAATTCTCCTAAGCTAATGATGCTCTCGGGTATCGGACCGAAAAAGCATTTGGAGGAATTAGGAATAGAGGTAATAAGGGATTTAGCCGTCGGTGAAAATCTCCACGACCACGTGATGGTGCTTACTTATTTGTCTGCAGATAATGGAACTTGTTTTTCCGACGAACGAAGTAAATACTTAGATGCGATAAAATACTTGTACGATCGCAGCGGTTCGTTTGCGAGGACGTCGGATGTCGCGGTCTACATATCGTTGTCGGGCTCAGCGCAAGCCAATGTTCCCGACTTCGCCATCTACCCGAGCTGCTCGCCGATAGGCAGCAATTTTTATGCAGGTTGCGTGAACGTTTTGAGGTTCAAGAAAGAGATATGCGACAAACTGCACGCCGAAAATATGGAAAGGGAGTTGATAACTTTAGCTGTCGTGATACTGAAACCAAAATCGAGGGGACGAGTACGTTTGAAATCCACAGACTATTTAGACTCACCTCTAATACAGACTGGCACGTTCAGCGATCTGAGGGATTTGGAAGGGTACCCCGAAGCGATGGACTTCGCGTTTGGTCTCGTGAACACGTCTTACTTTCAGTCTAAAAATGCCCGTGTGATAGATTTAAATATTGAGGAATGTAGAGAACTGGAAGGCGACAGCAAAGTGAAATGCATAGCGCGATGTTCGGCGATGTCGGCGTGGCATTCAGTGGGCACGTGCGCGTTGGGCAGCGTGCTGGACAGAGAGCTGCGCGTGCTCGGCGTGCGAGGGCTGCGCGTGGCCGATGCAAGTGTCATGCCCAGCATCATCCGCGGCAATTCCAACGCGCCAGTCGTCATGATCGCAGAGAGAGCCGCCGACTTCATCAAACAGACTTTAGAAGTGATTTAACAGTAAATATTTATTTTTGTTACATTGAGTGAGTATTAGTAACTGTTCAACTCTTTAAAAATATTTTAAGGAAAAATTATTGACAAATAAACTTAAGCATATAGAATGTACTCTTTTCTTATTTTATTATCTGTGCCCGCGACTTTGCATTTTTATTATTTAGGCTAATTATTTTACTTCAGATTATAAAACATTTTTTGATTTATTTATTTAAGTAGCAGTAAACAGTATTATAACAGGTCATAACGTACCTCGTACTAAGTCTACATCCATGTGATGATGTTCTAAGTACAACTAAAAATAATGTTTTTCGAGAAATTAAATTTTCTTGTGTAAATTAAACCTTAAAATATATTCACTGTTTATTAATATTGCACTTAATATTATTAATTTCATCATTATTCAGTAACAATCTTTTGGATCTTTGTGAATATTCATAACATTGAATAAACTACTTTCCCTATTTAGCAATCAATTATAGATCATTATTATTTAATTTTCACTCCATCAAAGGGCAGGCTGCCGGCGCGACGTAACTACGACCTCAGGGACATCGATACGCTTTGCATAATTGTTACAAATGTTGACTCTACGTTATATAGTCACTCCATAAATAACACGTAACACAATACGTAAAGATGATAGTTAACAATATTCTTAATTTAAAATTATAGCAATAGTATCTAGCAACTTCCAACACCTGCAGCGAACACCCCATGTTTTGGGGTTCCTTCCGGTTACAACGGAAGTGACGGTCCGTTAAGACATGTACAGATGCGGGGGTGCGGTGCGGTCGAGCGAATACATTTTATAACATTAAACATGTGCTATACTTTTTATAAGATCTGTTGATATGCAGTAATTAAATAATAAAAAGCCGTAAACTGTTACTGTGTACTTTTTGTGAACCCGATATATCTACAACTATTTTTATATACATTTGAAATACTGATTAAGCAATCCGATTTGCAAACTGAAATAGTTTAAATTACTTAATTATTAAATAAATAAAAACGGCGTAATTGTTGTGTTACGCGGATACGATTAGTGTATCTTATAATACCTCGACTATACGAATAATACATCTACTTACTTAAAATAAAAAGTGAAAAAGAAAGCTGTTTCAAATATTTCACAAAATATTTACCCGCACTCTTATCAAAGTTAAATCTCGGAAGTATTGTTTAGATGATCGTGCTACTGATAATGTGTTATGTGGAAAACTTGTATTATATAAATAAAATCTTCCTCCTTTCTCCGGTAAATAAAGAGGTACATAACATTATATGTTATTATACTTAAATTTTAAAGTGACGAGACTGCAAGAGTTCACCTGATAAGGACTTCAATAAATAAAACTTAATTTACAAAACAAAATGTATTACATTCGTTAGGTGGCGCATTTCCTTCAATATTACGTGATCTAATAGTATTTTTATTGCAGCATCGTATCCAATTGGATCACGATATAGTTACCACGAATGATGTCACTATGACTGTTGTAGCGCTGCCGACCCCGTTAGCGTGCGGCGCGGCGTGAGGATGCAAACTCGCTGACCGGCCGCTTTCTCCCGTCGACAAGCAGCGTCTGCACAACTTTACTTGTTCGTTTAATAACTTTGTGACCACAACTTGGATATTTAAAAAACGTACTTTCATTTAAATCACCACCGAAATTGTCTCATTTTTTTTACTTATTGTACACCGTTTATGGATAAGTTCGGGTTTGACTTGTAGAGAAAATTTACAGCAACTTTTATTTTAATTTCAAGAATGATGTCCGCACTTAATGGACGCAAACCTATGTAGTTTCGCAGCTCAGTAACATAACCTTTGGTCTATTCAAACTCAAATGAAGTTGTACATTAAGTATTTATAAATTACTGCTTTACCTTATATCCACATAATCTGGTCTCAGTTAAACATACATTTGGAAGATATTTTTTTTATTTTACCATACAAAATGTAGGAAACAAATACAATTTTTTTATTCAACAGTACATAATCGTATCGCGTATGATCTAAACCTGCATCTCTATGTTTATCCAATCATGTTAAAATGATTATGTTCGTTCACATAACACTTTCAGTGGCAGTATTTTGATGCAAATCGATACGTACATACAAATATAGATGATGTTATGAAATCAAAGTATATTTGAGTGATGTAACTTCCTGATGACCATATTTCAATTTGTACGTATTAAATATGCAGCTGCCATTTACAATAGCAGTTTTGAACATTAAGCGGTTAATATTAAAGGTATCAATTCTCTGTTTGTGTAGTTGCAAACTGGGTCAAGATGAAATTCAACACTACTTACTTGCATATTATACTTTTTCCATCAGTCACTGAGATAATTGTAAACATTAAAGAGAATATACAAAAGAAGTGCGATTTAACTTAATTTTTTACTTTTAACTTTAATAAAAACCTCTTTTACACAATTTCACTGTTTGTTAAGAATTGTAAAACTATTTTCTGTGGCGATGCGCAGAAAGTGTCACAATCTGTACAACACAATTCACTTGTGTTTTAACTTGTATGTACTATTTGGGATTATCTCAATAGTTACCTAAGTTTTACATTTTAAAAGTTAAAAAGTTCGGGAATGTAATGAGAATGTTTTTGACATTGCAATTAGCCCGTACACGGGGTGTATGACCGTTTCATTCAACGCCCATACAAACTGTAGCAACAATGACCAGTTTCATGTTTTTTACTACGTACTTTCTCTATAGTATAGTTAATTGTTTAGAATACAAATACACATAATCTCACGGCGGCGGCGGCACCTTGCAATGTTTGCGGCGAGGGCGAGCAGCGCGGAGACGCACCGCCGGCACTTTCACCTGCCCGGGCCGGCTGGGCAAGCGGTCGCTTCGCCGTCGCCAGTTTGTCTCCACACGCGCCACGGAGCGAACGCGCGCGACTGCCACGAGCTGCCACGGAACGGCTGCCATACGTGTGGTACGCGGGTGACGCAAGGGATGCGCCGACATGGCCGAAGACCTCGAGCCCTCCTCGTCGGAGAATGTGACGATAGTGGCCGGGGAGTTTGCGAACGCTGCGACCGTCTCCAGCCTCAAGTCTGAAGACTCCACGGAGCAGCTCATCTGCAAGACGCCGCAGAAGAACACGAAAGTGCCGAAGAAAAAAGAATGTAGTGTGAGTTCGAAGAGTGTAGAAGCGGGGAGTGAGGAGGGTGCGGGGGGCAAGAGGCTGGTAGTGGTGCTGGGGCTGGCGCAGGTGGCGCTGGGCGCGCTGCTAGGCGGCGTAGGCGCGCTGGCGCTGGTGCAGGGCGCCTCGCTGGCGCGCGTGGGCGCAGGCCTATGGGCCGGCTGCCTCGCCGTCGTAGCCGGCGTCGTGGGCGTGCTCGCAGGCATCAATGACTGCTATGGACTGAACGGAGCGGGCGAGGGGTGAGTTCAGGCGATATCGGTATAAGTTCCAGAAGACTACAACAATAACACACACTCGAGTTATTCAGTTAGTTTGATATCAATATGACATCGCATCCAGGAGTCAGGGTGGGCGGTGCGGTGGCAGGCTGGGTTGTATTGCACGACGCTGCAACGTCTTGCACAACACTGGCGGCCGCGTGTGGAAACCTGGCAGCGATTAAGTTGCGATTGATGTAAACACTCGCTTACGACGCTTTCTACAAATGAGTGATGATATTAGAAAATGTCTCAAGTTTTCTAGCATCAGTTATTTATGACAATTTACGATTGCTCTTTTTGCGTTAGTCATTACTTTTGTTTATAGATATGCGATATAGCACTACACCATGTAGGATTGAAAAGTCTTATTGCGGCTAATAGAACAAATCTAATTTTTATGAGATATCGATGACACGGATACTTTGTATTTATTATATAATAAGGCGAGGTGCAGTTCGTGATCATTGTGACCATTGTTTACAAGACTACAACTAATGTCAGCAATGCGGAAGTTTGTACAATATAGGTGGTACGTGCCGTGAGACGAGAGTCGGCGACCGCCACGCCGCCACGCCGTCACGCCGGTCCTGTGCTAATGCGACACGATTGTTTATTATAATATATTAGCGAATATGATTTATATGTTACTAGCTATCGTCCGCGTGGAATAAAAAAACCACAACAGCGAGATTCGTTTAGTTGTTCTGAAGAGACTTTCTAACAAACATCTATCCATACATCTACCTGAACATTCGCATTTATAATGTTAGTATGATGCACTCCGAACTTTAATTACATTGTACTATGAGAGTATAAATATTTATCGATATTTCTCTGGACGATACATCAAGTTTCGATTACCATTTTGATCCTTAGATCAGATAAATTTGAATGATGATAAAAAGGAAAATTATCAGAGATTGTAATTGCCTTAAGCCGTAAGAAACGTAATTATAATAATACACCGGAAGTGGCTTCCAATGACAGGATGAGATCTCAGGAAATAGAATATCTATTGTACGCCTAATTATTACCTTCATAAAAAAAGTAATTAGGGAAGTAACTAAAAACGTAGCTAATTTCATGGTGTCCAAACTATAAGACCCTTCGTACACAAAGCAACGTAAATGGATGAAACTACTCTACTACTCGCCGTAAAAAAGTCGATGCAATTATGTAAATATTAATTTAAGTGATTTTAGAAACGCACGTGAACAATCCTAAGTTTTACTGCCCTTTTGCGGGTCCGTGTCAAGAAATGTATTGGATAGTCCAGCCTTGTGATCACATACTTGCAATAATATTAATTTCGTAAAAAAAATCCAATTTATGTTTAGACACGTTTTGTTGCTTATGTTAATATTACATGACATAATATATCTTGAAATAAAAAACAAATCAGTTAATAATAAAATTTCAGTCAACACGTTGATTGATTAATTTTATTAATATTTATAAATACTAATAATTATATGGGTGGATAAATGAATGTTTATTAGAAAGCTCCAGAACGGCTTCATCGATATCGCCGAAATTTGGCATAGATGTGGAACATATTATAGTTTGGAAGAAAACTTAGGCTACAAATTAGGTTTTTTTTATTCCCGTGCGGATGAAGTCGCGGGGGCCAGCTAGTTAGACAATAAATCAACAAATGCGACGAAACAAGCGACAAATATAGATAAAGAAAGCGGGTGACGTTGATTCCACTTCCCCGTGTGCGCTCGCGCTCGCGTGTTTATACATTTCCTACAAAGTAATAACTTACTTTTTATATACATAACTTACAGTCTTTTTTTCTTTTAACATACATTTAATATTAAGTACATATTAATAAGACATTAAACTATAGAATAACCGTGAAAACGAAAAACAAAACAACCTGTATGTTCTTTGCAACCCTAATAATTTGGGAGCAACATTTCCTACAAATAGTCAGAGTTTATAAGTAATATGTAATTTTAGGAATATATTTATGATAAAGTGTGTATAGTCAAGTAAATAATGTAGACAGTCGAGTCGAGTCGAGTCGAGTGGGATGAGAGGCGCGTCAGCACTTGTTCTGCTTTCACCAGTTTCTCTGACTGCCTTATGCGACGTGCGGATACAGGGTGATACGGAAACTTGTAGTCTATTCTGATATGAGCAGAGCTTATTTTATTTAACAGGAATCAGGTTTATTTTGAAAAAAATCCAAGAAATGTATATTTAAAAGTAAACACTGTATTATCAGTAAATTTTGCCAGGATATGTGTGCTGAGAGTACAAAAATGACGCAAACAAACCCACGATCTCATATTTTAGATTTAATATTCATTTGACGTTAAAGCTTAATCTGAGTAGTTTATTTTCCGATGAAATAACCTATCGATCTTATCTCATAAACACGTTGTCTTTCCAATTTTCCCATACATAATAAGTGTAATAAAGCATCATAATGTTGTTAAAAGCGAGCGGCATGAGCAGTGAAAGCGTTGCAAGATCACCATCTGAAATTGCTAGCGCCGACTGATAACATAGCTCTGCGGACATCACACCGCTCGCCGCGTCGCCGCCACCGGCACCGCCCACCCATCATTATTATAATATACCACGATACTTAACTACATACTTACATGTTAACATGAACGTTACTTTGACTATGCAATAGAACTTACTATAAGAAAGAGGTATTTTAATCACAAACTTTAATCACATTGCTTTAAAACTTGGAAATTTTTAAATAAATTTACTATCGTCATTTAACAAATTGAACTTAACTTTATCTTACAATTTTTACGAAATAACTGAAATGAAATATCGTGCTCGTGTTCTTTTGTTCACTTAATAAAATGACGTTGTTTCTTAATGGTAGATATTTACTGATTTCGTTGTTGTGTAGGAGTGGTCCGCTGGTGACGGCGTTCCTGGCCCTGTCTCTGCTCTGCCTGGCCAGTGGCAACAGCGCCGCCGTGCTGGCCGCCACCGGCCTGCAGCGCGACGCGGCACGCCCTCCGCCACAGCACACCACCTTCCAGGTCAGGCACCACTGACACTAATTCTGTGTTCATATTTTGTGTGTATCATGTTTTGAAAGCTTTAATAATAAAACCTTCATATAAAGTAGTATGCCATCGGCGTAAACAAAATGACGTCTGTAGACGTGGGGCAAAATGCCACGACATTTACGCCATAGCGCTACAGTTATCAAATTAGGGTAATCAGAGGTAATCATGCGCTAAGTCGTAGACCGCCGTCTCCCGCGTGAACGGGCAGGCTTCGTGCGCCACTACGGTCACCATTAAATACATAACCGAGGGATAATTTTTATTTGTTCTTTCTTTAAAAGAGTCAACGTCAAGTATGATAGTGAATTTGTTATTATTACGATCGGGTTATTTTTGAACAACAAACTTTAAGTTCACCAAAGTGCGTTCATCACGTGAGTGTTGTATGTACATTTGCCATGTTTAGAATTAATACCACAATATTTTAAACTTCTTATTCAACAATATTTAACCATACCAACTTTTAAAATTAAAATTCGAAGCAAATTTCGTAATAGCTGTTAAACAACAATTATGCAATTTATGCTTAAATATAAATCCGTAAGAGAATTACCAAGATGGTCACAAGAGTACACACATACAATGATTACCGTGCAGTGAAGTGGGGGCGGGGGAGGAGGGGTGGGGCCTTGACCGGCGCGTGTGTGGACATCTCAAAAATATTGTCGTGACTTGAGACTTGATCATTTGTTGCAACCTTGCATTTGTAAGGAACAAATTTGTAGAAAAATATTAAATTAGATGAATGCTGAATATTTGTTACTTATTGGATGCAAGTGTCTTTTATCTTTTGTCAGATATTATACGTTCAACGAAGTAAAATGTACACATTTATTACGTTTGTTTTGCAAGGAATTAAACTTGGAATGTTATGAACAACTATTCCATAAGACAGTTCGCAGATAACATAGTAAATAATGTTTTGCTAAATTCCTCTGTTGTCTGTGAGCATACATCAGTTTTCGCATGTGCAAACTTGATGTTCTCCGAGTGTACCGTTAGCGAGTTAGCCTGGGAACGTGTGGTGCACTCCGCAACCTACACGCCTATGACAATACCACTTAGCTAACTGTTTAACGGTTATCTCATAAATGTGATAAGTATACTTACAATAAATAGTGCTGCGCAGCGAAACATTCCTCGCAATACCGACTCAACTGATATATAATGCACAAAGCTTTTTGTTTTTAAGTTTAACTTGAATGTCATTATGAGGTTCAGATGGCCATATAAATGACGCTGAATACTCACTGTTGTCAAATTCACTGTAAATCTTACAGACTTTGTTGAATTTGTATGACTGCGATTTGCTAAAAGTAAATATATTTTAATACGAAGAAGACAAGTTTGTATTGTATAAAATTTCATAATCTTTATTGCTGTTTGTCCTTTTTATATTTGTGAAATGAATTGTATTTTTTTGGTCAGGATGAAATGCAAGCGTGGACTCCAGTGCTGGCGAATATCGCAGTGTTGATAGTAGCCGTGGTGCATTGCCTGGTGTGTGTGGTGAGCATCTGCCAGGTGTCGCGGCGCGTGTGCCCCTGTCTGCGCCCCCGCCGGCCCTACGACCACAACCAGTTCGACCCCGCCTTCAAGGTGCAACAGTGCGTGCTCCACGTTGACGAACTCAAGAAGGCCCACGACGCCGAGAGGACGAGGAACCACGAACTCTGCAAGGAGCTGGAGATAAAGCTGCAGGGGGAGACGTTGAAGAAAAAAAAGGTAAAACATGACGCAACATCGTTAAGCTCTTTTAATATTGTTTTAGTGTGTTGGATTTTCTTAATAAATTTCGTTGTTGATGTGTGACGTGTTATCGTGTAGGAAGCAGAGGCAGGGTTCGACAGTGCCAACAGCAAGGAGAAGTTGGTGACCCGGTGGTTGGGGCGGCATCAGAGCACGCTGGGCACCGGTCGGCGCCGCCCTGCCGCCGGTGTGCGCAAGCCGCGCCGTCCGCCGCACCACGCGCCGCTCGTGCTGCTGCCCGCGCATCCGCCACACCCGCCGCACCCGCAGCACCCGCCGCACCCGCCGCACCCCGCCAGCACGGTCAGTACCACACAAATTATAGATATATAGGGCATCAAATTCATGAATCAATCAAAATGAATTTGTAGCTATAATAATTTTTCTACCACAAAAGAACGAAAATTCAGGTATTGAGTGTACTCCGTGTAATATATAATTTTTAAGAGGAAGTTTGTAGAATATGTTTCGCTATGTTGGGGCAATCGCGGTGACCCTTGGCACGCATGTTGTTGCAGCCGATGCCAAGAGTTGGCACACTTTGAGTACTCCCAATAAGGTTATTGCAGAATTAAATGCGGTTTCATGTCAATGTTTCGGCGTTTGTTGTGGTTTTTAGTAGCTTAATGCGTCAGGTTTGCATTAACTCCCTTATGTCGATGTGACCATTTGTATGCTGTAAGTAGATAATATTTAAGGTTTTTACTTACATCTAAAAACTACGCATTACGTCGCCAGAGCGGTAACTTGCACGGTCAATAGCGGAGTAACTAAAACAAGTTGTGTTGAACAATAGAGAGACGGGTACCACTGGTGTATTGAAGCGTGAGCGCATGCGATTTACCGTACGCCGTCGTTTTTCCGGTTTTTCTTCGCGACGGTCTGCCGCCGCGGCCGCTGCCAGCCCCGCTGTGCCGGCGGGCGGGCGCGGCGGGCGGCGCGGAGCTGCGATCGCTGGTACACAATGGATGCGTAGGCTCCGTTCATTCGTTCCGCATTGCTGTGACGCTTCCTGAAATGACGACTTTGAATTCATTTTGTTCATGACTTGTTCTATTCTGGTCTATTAGTAATGCATAATCTCGTATGTGTCTATAATGAATTAAACGATTAACTTAGTTTAACTACTCACGTATTACGGAGCGAAAGTGTTACGTTAACCATACGATTATTTTGTCTGGATTTTTGTGTCTGAAAAAACGTTAAAGACATAAGAAGAAAAAAATAGTAATAGTGTTTTCTCACGGTTTAAGTTAATCTATTGTTTCACTTGTAAACAGTTACAAAAACATACAGCATGATTAATTTAAATAATAACGGATTTGTTCGTCGTCATATCAATAAAATGTAACTTTAAGATATACAGACACATCTGAGTGCTTTAAATCAACTTAGCAAAGCGCAAGTCATCGCAACGACGACAAGTACCTATACATTAGTTGTCAGTGAGCGATTGATTCGTGACTTTTGATTTAACCATTGTTACATCACTACTTTCTTGAAGATGTTACTAACTATAATTTATTTTTGCTGATGTTTTAACTTATCACGTCAGTGAAAACGATTTATCATGAATTGTGTTTTATAATAGTATACACAACTAGTATTGAATTATGTGAAATTATTCAGATAAATGAGAAACATGTCTTTCTACTTTATCACATATATTTAACAAGTGATGCAGTGAGCATTGTAGTGATGTTTCGCTGCACTACACACTGCACTAATGGCCGGTAATTGGTCGGCACTATGAGAGCGGAACGCACGCGCAAAAAACGCGGCACGCGGGCGCGCCTCGCCCGCCGACAACCGATCACAGACCGGCGCGCACTTCGCCACTTCCGGACGGAAACTTATAACTAACAATTAGGCTAAACAATTGCAAGAGTAAACAACTGTAAAACTTCCACAATATTGTTTTACAAACTTTGATACTAAGTATTAATTTTAAAACGCTAAGCGATACATTGTTGCGTTACAAATTACCAAGAAATACATAAATTTCTATATTTGTATTCGCATTTGCACAAAACAAGCGAGACATCACTAGTTGAGGCATGTACGCGATGAATGATCGAATTAATCCGCTAGTGAAGTGCGTGCGGTGATCGATAAGGCTTGGCGGGCGGTGTGGGGGGTGTGAGAGGTGCGCGGGGGGTGCGAGGCGGCCGGTCGACGACACATCCTTGGCCCACATTCCGGCGCGGGCGCACGATAGCGACAGGTGCAACACTTTTGTTTACACACTTCGCGCACTTATGCGTATTAAATGAAGACAAATAAACACATAAAATGACGTTTATATGTGCGTGTGTGAGTTTGTGTGCTAATAATAATATTATATATGTTGATATATCTTTTTACTTATGTGTGTATTACATTACAAAGTATGTATGTATATGTGTTTAGATCAGATGCTTGTGCTGCATAGAGATGGTCGCTGGTCAGCTATTGTCTATGTCACTCTCGGATACGTCGCTTTAGGTCATGGTTTCAAATCCTACTTTTGAGCTTATAGTTTGAATACAAAGCAGGTTTAATTTTGTGATGATTTAGAAAAGTGATCTACTGCAAATTCGATGCTTGCTTCCTGTTTATGTTTATCAATATTAAAACAAGTAAGAAGGGTCGTAAGAAAGCTTTTTCTTGAACTAATTAAACTTAATAATTATTGCCGTGTTCCAATTGCAAGGCTATGATTGCGAGGCATGTGACTGGGAGCGTTGCCATGGCAACTGGACCGTGCTAGAATTATGGGGTGGAAAATATTTATGATTGGAGAAAAGCGTACGGACACATTTCTCTGTGTTAAGGCGTGAAATAATAAAATGTTTTATTTGCTTTTAATGATTCGTTTAGATTAGATTGGAATTAAACTAATGAGAATGACGATTTCATTGCTCATGTAAATATCCGCTAGTGTTGAAATGGTAGCAAATTAATTCATATCGCACGTAAAGTTAGTGAGAGAACGTGAGAGAGAGGCAACAAGACTTGCGTCGGATACCGGGAAATATATGCAAGCGGCTGAGAATCTAGGTTAAACGAAATCGACTGGTCCTTTCTCTGCTCCCTGTCAATCAATGCTTTACAACGCAATATATACAATTGTTTCCTTAGGCCTGGCAACACTGGCGGTGTAGTGTTGTGATCACACGCTTGGCGCTAGTGTCGCGGGATTAAACAGTCAGTTGAAATTATAAATAACTTTTGCTTGTGTTATTATTATAAAATTACTTACACTACACAACTGAAAATATTATTTCTCAAATATATTTTTCAGTCTGTTTGAACAAGAATATTATTTGAATACAAGATACAAAAATAAAAAAAAACAGTAGTTGGTAGGTACAAATCCTTGTTTACGATGGTCAGGATATGTTAAACAAAGCGATTGCTTAAAGAAATATACAAAACACATCGTATCCATATGAATAAAATGACTGAGTGACGTAAAGGGTGACACGAATCTCGGCAAATTATAAATTATAATTGGCCGGGCCCCGGAGTCGGAGCTTACCTTATGAGAAATCTGCTTTCTAAACTACATACATACATGTATTTTAACTTTAGTACAGTCCACAAGAAAAGTTACAAGTTTTAACTCAACTTTATGTCTATTTAAATTATTTCCTCTATATACAAGATGTCTTTATAATTCTACACTAAGTGTCACCCATACTATGAGTTCTATAGCGTGTGTGGTCATACAACATTTATGATGTAGGCAAAGTTAGATTGTGATCCAATAATTTATGAATATAACATAAAAATAATGTTAAATAAAAGTAAAAATTCTTATCACAATACTGTGAGATAATATTTATTTATTTATTTATTTATTAATTTAAAAACTGCATAGCATCATTACAGTATACAACCAATTTGACACTATACACACTTTACATTACAGTTTACCCGATAACATATTTTATAATAACAGTAAATAACATATAACAATGATAAATAAAAAGAAAAAAAAATACATATAATACAGTGCAAGAATATATAAACGCGTAACTGAACATCAATATTCAAACGTCTTCCACACATCTGTACGCAGCCTCTGTGAATTTCGACTCGCTGCAACTAAATAAATCTATATCTCTAGATATGATATTGAGAATGTATCGATTGCAATATTTCTTGTTCATAGTATATGTTGAGAGCGTCACTCTCCACACCTTCAATGTATAATACCTCGTCATAAGTCAAAATGTTAATACGATAGTTCATGTATAAAGTCCCTCGGGCGAGGAGAGCGGCGGGGGAGGGTGCCTTACATAAACATCGCCGGACTTGAATAAAGAGTAAACAGTTTTCGTAAACTACACTTTGCATACTGAATATCAATTGCTCTGTGTATATGATATAGAGATATGAAGAAAAAGTATTTATGTTCTTTTTTATTACGTGTTTGTTTAATTTCAAATTAAAAAATTACAGCGCATTAAGTGAAAGCTTTGTGAATTTATTGTGGGAATTTATTAAAGCAACTAATTTAAATGTTGCTTACAATATTTAATTTATTTATAAAACACTTTTATTTAATTTATTTAATAAGCATTTTATAAATGATAAATTCTTTATTAGTTTTATTTATTCATGAAAAAAAATTCTTCGAAGTATCATTGTTCTAATTTAGGCATCTATGTCTATCAAGCCCTTGTTAAGATCTCTCACGCGCCGGTAATGTGGGTAAACATATAAAAAATGTAGAGTTGCTACGATTTCTAAGGCTCATGGCCAGTCGCTAGTAGTCAGTGGCCACACCATACCGCGCGGAGAAAGTGGCCGCGGGTACTACGACCGCTTCGTTCCGGACGTGCTACCTTAGGCTATAGCCACAATGATTTACTTGTCATGGATTTTTCTAGAACATATTATTTGTTATAATTTTTATAACGTCGAGATTTCTCTTGTTATTCCAAGTCTAAGATACATCTTTACAAATGTTCGCTAATGATCTTACGATAATATGTAAAGTCGGTGTCCACTTTGTCATATGTTACAACAATGATATTTTATTTATTTATCGTGTAACGCAAGTCATCCACGTAGGGACTATGTATTTATTTAATAACTAGACCATTTGTTTTTTTTATATGTGTGTATAGCTTTATTCCGTTGGCCATAGCACTTGTGCGCGACGTCGTCGGCGTCTGCGTGCTTGGAGCTTGCGGCCGTCAGTCGTGACGTAATGGTTCAACGGCTTTCGACAGCGTAACGATATTATAATGAACTCTGCCGGCCCTTTTATAGCATCCGATTGTTACGTACACTTTGTACACGATTTTGATCGAACTGGTGATTGGTTCAGTGTTACGATTGACAACTAATGTCCTACGTATAGTATCGCTTAATATAAATATACACCCTGTTGTGTCAGACCCAAGTGTAGTGAAACGGAAAAAAGGGATTCTTTTCACTTATCGTTGAGCAACTGTTCTAGTTTATGCCATAAATCAATACTAAATTTGAACAGACATATTTTTAACGTGGTTCATAAAGATAAAAGGTTCTATGTCTCTAATTTCAGTCATATAATATTGTAATACTATACGTAATGTAAGTTAACCGCGGTGAGGTCATAAGGTGGTGTCATAGGAAGCAATTGTGTTATTTTGTATCGCGTTAAATCCTAATGGTGTACAAGCTAATGTTCTTAACATCAGTTGCTCCCATGATTTGAACCCTTAAGAAGATATTTCACAATGTAATTAAATCGTTCTCTTACAATTACGATAATTACGTGCGTATTATTGTAAGAGAGACAAGAAGTCCCTCAGTATTGTGGTGGGAGCGGTAAGCGCTACTTCAGTAAACAAACTGACAGATATGATAAACAATGCCGTAGCGCTGAGGCCGACGACCGACGTCGCTGGGAAAGTCCTAGCAATGCCAACCAGTAAGAAAGAAAATTTAAAATATACCTCAATAAACAACAAACATAACTTTGTTTATATATAATATAAATAATAAAGTAACTAGAACTATTATATAGTTAATTATACAATTTACGTAGACATAATCTATGTAGATTTATGCAAGTGAACTTTAAAAATATTTTCTACTTTCACGAATTATTCTACCAAAACTGATTTATTTTCAAGTATTTAGTTAAATAATGTACGGAAATAACTTTTATCTATTTAAGCATTATTTAAAAAATCCTTTTTGAAGTTTTCTATAAAATTTCTCAGTTAACCGTAACTATAACAATATAAAGTTGACCTGATTTCATATTATTTCAGTTTGTTTTTGTGTGTGAACATTGTCAAATAACTATATTATATAATGTTTACTTTTATTGCAAATTTCATAGAACGCCGTCGTTGAATAACTAAATAGTTATGCAAAATTTAATTCACACAAAATAATCAGTAGAACTGCATCAGTTTCTCATATGCAAGTCACGAGAAAAATGCAAAGCGAAGTTTCTTACTAAAACTTTGGCAATGTATTGTTTTAAAGTTAAATAAAAAGCAGCTCTTACACAGTAAGGTGATCTTAACATCTTTCGTCACCTGGCTTAGTGTAACAGATAATTATTCTAAGATAAAACAATATTAAATATAATATGTACATACTTATGAACAAAAACGTCATATAAAAGTCATTCTTCACTTTATAAAAATAGAGAAACAACATATTGTACGGTTATTTCCGCGATGGAAATAAACTAATAGATTGACGTCATCTACGCATTTTCACACAACCGTTGAAGTCTTTTGTATATACAAAAATACTTCGTGTCTTTTTTCACATAACTTTTGTAATATATAATAATTCCAATAATAAAAATGAATCATATATTTTACATAAACGTATTGTAAATAGAATGGTAAATGTAATACGATAATACACCGATAGAAAAAGTAAATAAAAACGAGAAATTGATACACGCGACAAAAACAAGGAGCCGCGATTTGATACGGGTGATTTGACTGTGGTTATATTGTTTTAGCGGAGCGAGTTGAATTCGTTATTACAGTTACCATTAAACATATTAAAAACATTTTTACAAAT